CCCCCACAATATGGCAATGAGAAAGCTTGGATTCGGTCTGCCTGATTAGTAAGGCGGTAAGCGCCAGCAGGCGGCTCGACCAAAGTATGAGCCGCAGGTCACCGAACACAGGCACGCATCAGCGCCTAAAAACCTCCTCACAACATGGCGAAGAGAGGACCCGGATTCGGTTTGCCTGATTGATAGGACTTGTAAGAACCTGTGGCAACTCTAGCAAGTAGAGCAGAGTGTGTGCCGCGGGACACCGAAGACAGGCGCGTATCAACGCCAAAAAATAAAAAGAAAGGGGGATCTGTGGGGAGCAGCCCGGACTGGACTGAGTTACTGGAATTAAGACTTATTCTATGCATCTGCTCTCCCACAATATGGCGCTGGGAGAGAAGTAAACAGCTTCTGCACAGCTGCCTCCAGTTCAACCAATAAACTGTAGGACCTGCTACTGATTGGAGGAGAGCGGCGTGCTCAGCGTGTGGGCAGCCGAGTTGGGATTGGCAGAGGAGGACTATAAAGGAGGAGAGAGACGGCATTCACCGGGAACATCTAAGGGGAACATCTGAGGGAACACCTGTGCAGCCCCCGAGAAAGCCGGCCGGCGGTGTGCCGCTCCCCTGCGGAAGTGGGGAATGTGGCCAGGGGGAACTGCCCTTCCACGGAGGTGGAAGGGACAGTAGCCAACCCGGGAAGAACCAGCAGCAAACCCGGGGAGGGCCGAGCAGACGAAAGAACAGCGCAGGGTTCAGTGTTGCTCCTCCACGAAGAGGGGGAGCGACACAAATTGTATTTTTTTGAAATGGAATGAACTTTAAATGTCTGTCTCCTATAATTGCCCATCAATTTCTTTCTCAGCTGTACATTAGAAACCTGGTGACCGCAAGTGTTTCTATGAGGTGTCCTTTTAAACATTTTTCTTATTTTTAACATTCAGATTTAACTTGTACAACTTATGATATTGTCTTTTCCTTTGGAATTGTTAATAAAACTGGAAATTGTACTTCCTTCAGCTAAAGATTTGAATATTCTGTCTTCTAGCTTTTGTAAGAACTAAATCTACACTATTTTAGGATTTTAATCTGAAGTCTACTTTTGAGTGAGGTGTTTTAATTTTTTTAAAGATTTATTTATTTGAAAGTCAGACTTAGAGAGGAGAGGCAGAGAGAGGTCTTCCATCTGATGGTTCACTCCCCAGTTGGCTGCAACGGCCGGAGCTGTGCCAATCTGGAGCCAGGAGCTTCTTCCTGGTCTCCCACACGGGTGCAGGAGCCCAAGGACTTGGTGGGCCATCTTGCTCTGCTTTCCCGGGCCATAGCAGAGAGCTGGATTTGAAGAGGAGCAGCCGGGACTAGAACCGGCACCCATATGGGGTGCCGGCGCTTCAGGCCAGGGCGTTAACCCACTGCGCCACAGCGCTGGCCGCAAGTTTATAATTCTAAAATCCAGATTCTGGTGGCTAGTGCCGTAGCTGAATTGCTCTCATGGCTCTTGGAGACGAGCTTTCTCTTGTGCGTTGAAGCACAGAAGAGTCTAGCGTTCAGCTCTCCATTGTTAGTTCATTGACGCACATTTCTGTTTCTGTGCTGACTTCATTGTTTCAAGCCACCGATGCTTGTATGTGTTCTAACATTTTGTAGCATTAGACCGTTTCTTTGCCTTTGCAACACAATTACTTGCTAATTATTTAGAACAATTGTGATTTAGAAATTATTTCAGTTGGTATCTTGGTAAGATTTGCAATCAGCATAAATAGAGGGTGCTCCCCGTCTTCCTGCCCTCCCGTCATGTTGGCGGACACGGCCTTCCCGGGAGGAGGCATTTGGTACTGTGGACGCTCTCGTGGCCAGTCCTCCTGTGTGTCCTCTGGGCCTCAGCTATGGCGGAAAGGCGCGGCCTCCTATGGCACAAGTTCAGCCTTCCCAACTCCAACTGCGATAATGAGATTTTTAGAAATAAACGTGTATATCTGCTTAACTCTAAAAAAACTTCCAAATGTCACTGAACGTGCTGCATCAATACCCTGATTTTGATGCTTAGTTTGTTCTAATTGCAAAAAAAAAATCAAAGTGGAAATAATTCTTTTTGTACATATCTATGTATTTTCACACGGGATTCCTTCTCAAAAGTCCATTGAGTGAGTCTTTGAGGAGAAGGGCACGCACACTTGCGGTCGTGAACGAGCTGCCTTCCTGACTTCCAGAAATGTTGGCCCCGTCTGCCTCCCCTGAGTTCTGGCTTGATTGGCTTACCTCCTTTGAGTCCTTGAAATTATTGCTCGCTCATCCTTCTAATGTCAAAGTCTCTGGTCAGTGTTTGACAGAATGAGTGCTAAATGTTTAATGAATCAATGTTGAAAGAAAAGCAATTGTTTTTAAACAAAGAAAAAGCTAAAGATTCAGAAAAGAGGAGAAAAGATTTCGACCATTTCTTTTTCTCAGTCTCCAACTAACAAAGATTTGCAAAAGGCTGCTGCTGGGAGGGGGTTCTGGACTTCAGTAGGAGCTCTTTGGCAGCCCCAGCTCCTGACGGCCAAGGACGAAGGCAGACGTTTGCAACTATCGGGCTGTTAGTGCCGGATGCTCTCCTAGCTGGACTTGTGCTCTGTTTGAACCTATTGTGTGAGCACGGGACTGTCTCATGTATTACTTAACAGAGACCTCAAATTCTTCTGGGAAAATCCCTTCTCAGATGTTGGCATCCAGGGGCCCTGAGTGCCCCAGATACAATAGAATTTCTGTTTATTGCAAAGTACTCACAAAGAAAAAGAGCTTAAAAACAGAGGGCGCTGCCTTAGCTCAGTTTGTGAGGCTGAGTGCACCTGACAGGTGCGGGTACATGTGAATGGCGGGGGTGGGGAACCTCTTCTCTCCAAGGGCCACTTGATTATAACATCATCCACAGGCCATACAAAACTATCAGCTTAAAAATTAGCCTGCAGTAAATTGGTTGAATTTGAATCCTGCCTGAGGTTGCCTTGGCAGGGCCGGACCGAATGATCTCCAGGGTCTTAGGTGGCCTGGGACGTTCCCCACCCCTGCAGCAACCTTGTCCTGAGAACTAACCAGCACTGAGTGGTTAATCCCTGATGGCAGGTTGCCAGGGCCTGGTGTCCCACTAGGCCCCAACTCCTAACATCACCACGCTGAGGACCGAGCCTCCAGCACAGGTCCCCGGGAGGGGGCCACACCATAGTCGTGTCCAAACCAAGGAGCTCACAGGTAGACTTAGCCTGACGTGCGACGAGAGCTCATGAGAGCACTGACCCCTAACAGCAGCTGGTCGGGTGAACAACTTGCGTCCTACAGAAGGGCATTGCCTAGTCTCCAAAAGTGGTGAGGCACATCCACAAGTTCTAGTGCAGAGACGGTTCCTAAAACATTAATTATGCATATGTGCTTACATAACTTAAAACTAGGACAATCTATCCTGGGAAAATGGTTGTATTCTGTACTTCTAAAGTTTCCTGGTCATACATGTGTTTACCAAAAGTTACTGCATGTGTCTTGGATCTATAAACCATTTTCTGTTTTCATAATTGTCTTTAAAAATAGCTATCATGTCATTTAAAATGAATAAATAAAGCAAAACTCCATTCTTAATGGTAACATAATTAATATGAATATAGGTTCTAGTTTTGGAAATTTATGGTGAGCCGGAATTGTTAAAATTTTTGCCCCCAGTTTTGTCCTCTCCAGTGAGTAATGAACTTGTGGCGGAGTGGCCAAAGTGACTTAAGACAGTGGTCGTCTTTACGGTTGGTGGTGATCCCTCAACCAGGAGGGAGAGCAGTCCCTGGAGCTACAGCCTCTGATCAGGATGTGAGACCCTGGGTTTCAGAACATCGAGGGCTTTTTCCATCACGGTGCTCTTTCTGGCACAAGAAACACTTCCTTGTGCGTTTTAGAGTGATTTCTACTTAATTATGCCAGGGACTGAAATGCGCTTCTGCTGTGTTTGGTCTTGATAGTTTCAGCTACACGCACTCACCTGGTCCAACCCAATCCTTCTGCACCTTACGGCGAAGAGCTCCAATAGGAGGGATGTGGCCAGGGTGGTTAGAGAAGAGGTTAGGACGAAGTGTCGTAAGCTGGAGACTGAAGCGGTCGGATGCCATCTTCAGTGTTGGATGGAGCATCCTTAAGTTAAAAGATTTCAGATTTCTATTTGTGCATCTGTTCAGTGCCTTACCTGCTCTGTGTCTAGCTATAAACTTCTAATTTGTAAAATGATAGCTGAAATCAATAAGATTATAAAAACAAGTACAGTATAATCATAATAGAATGATTTTATTTTTCACCAGGATCTATCTCGCAGACAATGTTTCTTATAGATTCAATGAGTCAACGATTTTCTTCTTTTAACTTTGAAAATTCATGGTCATGTAAAACATTGCAATGTTTTTGGGTAGCTCGTCTGTAGTCTGTGTCAAGAGGTTTGACTCCAAACATCTTTGTTCTAGGAGTTTGTTCCAATCTCAAAGTACTTAAATTATTTAAAGATGTCTTGATTGAAGGACTGGCATGCGAGTTACAGTCCATGTGTTAAGAAACACAAGCAGCAACACTGGGAAATACTCAGAAGGTGGCACCACCCACTACTAACTTACCAAATATCGATTTGAGTGGAAAAAGTCAGATATGTCAGGGCCAGCGCTGTGGTGTAGCGGGTAAAGCCACTGCCTACAGTGCTGGCATCCCATACGGGTGCTGGTTCAAGTCCTGGCTGCTCCACTTCCAATCCAGCTCTCTGCTATGGCCTGGGAAAGCAGTGGAAGATGGTGTAAGTCCTTGGACCTCTGCACCCATGTAGGAGACCTGGGAGAAGCTCCTGGCTTCAGATCATCCCAGCTCCAGCCACTGGAGCCATTTGGGGAGTGAACCAGTGGATGGAAGACCTCTCTCTGCCTGTGCCTCTCTGTAACTGCCTTACACATAAACAAATCTTAAAAAATCGGGTGTAAAAATTGGGTACATCAAGGACATTAGGGAAAATAATTGATTTGTTGGATTATGGGTAATATGCATGAAGTTATTTTAATATCATTAATTATGTAATGAAAATGGGCAGAATAAGGCAAGGCACAGGAGTCAGGTCTGGCGGGAGAAGGACAAGGCGGTGACGCAGTCGCGGATCTGAACGTGGGGACAAGTGGGTCTCCTCGGCGGGTCCTCACCCCCAGTGATGGTTCTGGGGGCTGAGAGGAGGGGCACCAGGGCTACTCTAGAAGGAGGCCTGGCCTGTGACCCGTCTTCAGGAGGTGGGGATTTGCAGTGTTTCTCGTAACTTGTTCAAGTGCCATTCTTAAACTTCTCCAGGTTCTTTCCCTTGCTGAATTCTTGTGGCCGTGTCTCCTGTTCACGATTCTGACAGTACTGCGTTTTCAGGAGCTTCCCAGACAGAGAGACAACTGTAAGTTTGACTTTGGACACACTTAAAAATCATCTATTTGCGAGGCAGAGAAAGCCAGCCAGCTAGAGTGCTCCCTTCTGGTTGATTTCCTAAATGCCTGCCATGGCCAGAACTGGGCCAGGCTGAAGTGGGGAGCTCAGTCCAGGTTTCCTACATGGGTGGCAGGGACCCCATTACTTGGGCCATCACTTCTGCTTTCTGAGGTCTGCATTAACAGGAAGCTAGAGTAAGGAGCCAGAGTTGGGTATTGAACCAGGCACTCCAATGTGGGATAAATGCCTGACCCTTAAAACACCTTTAAATTAAAAACCAGTAGAGAAAGGACAAAGCACTCGTTCTTATATTGCTACTGTTATAATGGAACCATGAATATCTAGGGTATGTGCCAATAAGCATGAGTTAGGTGTTTCCTGTTAAGAATTGATGTTTGCTCAATCTTCTTGGTAGATTTATTCTAATTAGACTGACTCATTTTGGGTGTAAGTATATGTATTGTTAAAAAATAGGAAGAATGGCCGGCGCTGTGGCTCAATAGGCTAATCCTCCACCTAGCGGCGCCGGCACACCGGGTTCTAGTCCCAGTTGGAGTGCCGGATTCTGTCCCGGTTGCCCCTCTTCCAGTCCAGCTCTCTACTATGGCACGGGAGTGCAGTGGAGGATGGCCCAAGTCCTTGGGCCTGCACCCGCATGGGAGACCAGGAGGAAGCACCTGGCTCCTGGCTTTGGATTGGTGCAGCGCCAGCCGTAGCTGCCATTTGGGGGGTGAACCAATGGAAGGAAGACCTTTCTCTCTCACTAACTCTGCCTGTCAAGAAGAAAAAATAGGAAGAGTGGAAGAGGAGGTAAATGGTGGGAGATGCATTTCATAGCTTACCAATGAGGTGGTGGTTATGGTGGTGGTATTTGGGGGTGCATAGGTAAATATTCTAACCACAGGTTGATGCTCCATCTTGCCACCCACCTCGGCAGGGGGCCTAACCTTGGTGAGCCTGACTCTGTAAAGACGGCCATATTCTCCCACTGCCTGTGACATTGCAAGGATGTGGTGAGACGGCCTGTTGGGAGTGGGACAGGGAGCTTGACGTGTCAGAGCTATCCCCACTCCATCCACGGGGAAGCTAGTGAGTCGGGCAACTATGGCTCCTCAGAGCCATTTGGTATCAGGTGTAAGGAATTTTGTTTCTGGACCGAGTCCTCTGATCCGTTAATGGATTAATATAATTTCATGATGGATTGATATAATCTCCTATTACAACTTAACTCACAGGTATTCAGTTTTGGGTGTCGGTGCACAGGCTCATTCCTTCCCTGCGTCTGTACCCAGGTTACTTGGAAGCCCGGGATCTGCCCAGCCGGGGCGTGCTTCCCTTTGTCCAAGGCCTGCTTTGTAATACCGGATCCAGGTGCAGGAACTTCAGTTACGTGGAGTCCTCGGCACACCATTTTAGGTGAGAAACTCATTTGTTTTACAATTCCTGGGAAACTGCATCAACAGGCACCACGCTTTTAATGCAGCCTCTGATTTGGGACAGATCAGAGGTCACAAAAAGAGACAAATGAGTCATCAGAAAATCGGCTTTATTGAGTTCAGACTCGCGTGATAAGTTGAACTGAGGGTGAGCTTCCGGGAGGGGACCTCACCCCCGCTGTTAATATTCACAGCTTAATCCCTGAGGAGTGAATTTGCATGCGGTTGTTTTTTGGAGGTTAAAACCTGCTTAATCAACCTTAGATTTTGGTGCCAAATGCTCCCCACAGCATGTTTTTTTGAGTCGTGTCCTGGGTTTTTCCAACTGTGCTAGTAGTTGACCTGGTCCCTGTCCCCAGCTAGGATCCAGTGAAAATGGTGTCAGCCACCTCTTCTGTCACCACGCCCACCCCCCACACTACCTCAGTCGCCGATGGCATGAGTTGGCGTTGAAGGTCAAGAGAAGAGCAGGAGGCATTCGTGTGAGGAGCTGAAGTGAGGGAACCCGGAGGGTCTGATGATCAGGAACCTTCTGAGAGGCAAGGGACTAGGTGATCGCCATGGTTTGAATTTAGCAGCTAGGAATGACCCGGGTGCTACATCGGTGCTGACGGAAAGCTTCCTGTATTGAACAATCTAAGGTATAGAAGTGTGAAGAAGTGATTAATTATATGACCTTTGAATGAAATTTTTCTAGATAACTTTGGCCAAGTGTGATAGTGAGAGATGGTGCTGTCTTCATCCTCTTGGGCGACTGTCACAAGACCGTGGACTGGGAGCCTCACAGGGAACACGTTTCTCGTGGTCCTGGGGGCTGGGAAGTCCGAGGTGCAGGAGCCAGTGGGTCGGAGGTCTGGTGGGGATCCTCCCTGGGTAGGGCATCTGTCTTCACACAGCGAAAGGTGCAAGAGGTCTCCGAGTCCTTTTTCAAAGGCACTAATGCTCCGCCCTCCTGACCTGGTCACCTCCCAGCCTGCTCTCATCTTCGGGGTTAGGCTTGCCCAGGTGAAGTGAGAGGAACACAGATCACAGCAGGTGATGGCTAAAGTGGAAGCATGACATGAAGCGCCCTGCGTGGCAGCAGGATGATGTCACAACCTGTCAAGTCTGATCTCTTCTGGGTGTGAACAAGAGAACGATCTAAATCTTTCAGGGATGAGCGGAGGAGTGTGAGGTGTTGGCATCTTCATTTCTTTACTTGATCTCTCTACTCAGAATACGTTCGACGATATTGCAAAGCAAAGAACAGGACTCTGCAGCCAGTGATACGGGCTCTGTTGGCTCTGATTAACCTCTTTGAATCTCTTGTCTCATTGCCTACTTCAAGTGTTCCTGTTCAAGAGAATGCAGAAAATGTGTAGCACAACCTTATGCAGAATGAAATCCGCCTGGCCAAGAACAGAGAGGAAACAGGTTTATTTGGGGTTTATCAGGATTGAGATCTGGGGAACAAATGAAAGTCTTAAATGTGTACCCAGGCTTTACAAGTCGGTGCCTTTCTCTGCATCCCGGACTGCAGGGGCGTGACAGTACCTTCTGCTCATCAGGAGTTAGGCTTGCGGCAGCAGACGTAAAACTGTCTCCAAGAAGGGGAATGTGTACAGTCTCGGGAAGCAAGGGGACGTGCTCACAAACTGCCCGAGGTTGGAGGCATCTGGAAAAGGCGGTTCAGCCAGGTCACGGCGCTGGGTGCACCCAGGTGGGTGTGGGCAGGACAGCCCATCCTAGAGTACTGAGACTGTATCAAGGCCCCCAGCCCTTCCATTCTGAGTGTCCTGAATCAGTGCTGCTCCAACCCACTCTTTGACACATGGCATGGGAGCATCTAGCTAAGGGAAATTAGTAAAAGCATATTATTATGCCTTGACAGTTAGAAAGCATCTTTTTTTAAGGAATGCAAGTTTTAGAAGTACAACTTTATAGTTCTTCTTCCCACCATACCTGCCCTCCCACCTACGTTCCCAGCTCTCCTCCTCCTTCCCCCATTCCCAGTCCCATTCTCCATTAAGATTCTTTTTTTTTTTTTTTTAAAGATCTATTTGAAAGTCAGTTACAGAGAGGAGAGGAAGAGAGAGAGAGAGAGAGGTCTTCCATCTGATGGTCACTCCCCAGTTGGCCACAACGGCTGGAGCTGTGCCGATCTAGAGCCAGAAGCTTCTTCCTGGTCTCCCACATGGTACAGGAGCCCAAGGACTTGGGCCACTTTGCTCTGCTTTTCCAGGCCACAGCAGAGAGCTGGATCGGAAGTGGAACAGCCAGGTCTCAAACTGGTGCCCATATGGGATGCCAGCACTTCAGGCCAGGGCGTTGACCCGCTGCACCACAGCTCCGGCCCCATCCGTTAAGATTACAATTAACTTTGTACACAGAAGACCAACTCTACGAAGTAAAGATTTCAACAATTTGCACACACACACACACACACACACACACAATGGGAACTAGTTTTACACTTAATACTCATACAACTCATTGAGGACAGAGGCCCTGCATGGGGAGTTGGTGCACAGTGACTTCTGCTAATTTAACAACACTCTTAATGTATGATGTCACTGACTACCTGAGGCTCTTGATGTGAGCTGCCAAGGCGATGGAAGCCTTTTGAATGCCACTGTGCCATGACGCTAGCCCCACAAAGTACCTTTTGACACCAGGAAATTTCTGTTCTTCTATTTGAACATCCTCAGGGACCATAAATTCGCTTTCATCAGAGTTCTTTGTGCCACGTTTGAGTGCGCAAGTCAGTTTGACGTTTCCTTGGCTGTCGCTCCCCCTCTTCGTGGAGGAGCAACACAGGACCCTGCGCTGTTCTTTCGTCTGTTCGGCCCTCCCCGGGTTTGCTGCTGGCTCCTCCCGGGTCGGCTACTATCCCTTCCACCTCCGTGGAAGGGCAGTTCCCCCTGGCCACATTCCCCACTTCCGCAGGGGAGCGGCACACCGCCGGCCGGCTCTTCTCGGGGGCTGCACAGGTGTTCCTTCAGCTAGATGTTCCCCTTAGATGTTCCCGGTGCATGCCGTCTCTCTCCTCCTTTATAGTCCTCCTCCGCCAATCCTAACTCGGCTGCCCACACGCCGAGTACGCTGCTCTCCAATCAGGAGCAAGTCCTACAGTTTATTGGTTGAACTGGAGGCAGCTGGGTAGAAGCTGTTTTCTCTTCTCCCAGCGCCATATTGTAGGAGAGCAGATGCATAGAATAAGTCTTAATTCCAGTAACAGTCTAGTCCGAGCTGCTCCCCACAGAGGAGAGCAGATGCATAGAATAAGTCTTAATTCCAGTAACTTAGTCTAGTCCGAGCTGCTCCCCACACTTGGCACCCAGGGCCTCTGACTTGGATCCACACACGAGAAGCCTCCTAGTGTCTAGTGGGTCCAGAGAGGTCTGGGATGCGAGGTGGAATAGGGAATGAACGCTGTAAGTCACCGTCCAGCCTGCCTTGTTTCAGACCGGGACACCAGGCTTTCACACCGGGTCACGTGTGAACCCAGCTGACGCTCAATGCCATAATGACTCACTTCTGCTTGTGTGGTAATTGTCTTGGTTAAAGAAACCCTGAAGTTTTCATTTCAGGTGGAAATGTGACCATGGTTAGTTTGTCTTGTGGTTTTCTGAGACCTTTATGATCCTCTGGGGAAAGTTCCCTTTGGGCAGAATCCCAAGTATCATCTGATGGGTGCTGTGACCGTGAACCCAGCTTCCGCGTTCCTGGCTTTGCTAGGGAGAGTCCGCTGAGTGCTCGTGAGAGGACCCTGGGGGAAAACCTGAGTCGTCATTGACAGCAGAACGGGCGGATTCGCGGAGCGCTGGGGTTCCTGCCTGCTGTGTCGACGGCGAGCCCAGCAGCGAGCTAATTCCTCCTCCAGTCCTCGTGTGCTGTCGGCAGCTGCCCTCCCATCCCTCTCCACAGCCGACACCACAGGGGTCGGCAGCTGCCCTCCCATCCCTCTCCACGGCTGACACTGCGGGGGGCTCCTTGGCAGCGTCTGTCCAGACTTCGGTCAGCAGCACCCGTGAGCCGCCACTCAGCCCGGATTGGATGTTCAGTCTTTGACTATTGGCTCCTTGGAAAGTTCTCTTTACCAATTTCCACTTGTTTCCAGTTACTCTCATTTCATAGTCTGCTATTTTCATTGTCTTTCTCCATTCTGAGATCCCCTGACCCCAGCCTGTCCTGTCCCCAGCCATCGCTAGCCTGTTCAACTCCACCGTAGTTCTGTGACTGAGCTGTTAGATAAGTGGAACCGTAGACCACGCAGCCCAGGAGACTGGCTTGTGTTTCCACTAATGTGAGTCTCGGGGGTCCATCCAACTTGTTGCACCTGCCAGCTCTTCATCCTTTTTTTACTTTTGAATAATATTCTAATATATGGTCTAAAAATCTTTTATTGGTTGTAGATATCTGAAAATTGTTCTGTCAATGGAAACCTGAGACCAATAAGCAGAAGTCCCTTATCCCCGGGGCCAGGGCTGTCAGACGTTGGCTGGACGAGCTCTTCCACTGGCTTTTCGGGAGAGAGTGAGGACCGGGAGACGGCGGAGGCTGACTTGCGGTGCTCCCTCACCTCTTTGTCCTGGGGTGGGAGAGAGACCCTGAATAATCGGTGGGCTGGGGTCCTGCCTCTCCAGCTCCCCTTCCCACAGCTGACCCTGAAAAACATGGGAGTTCTGTTCTCTTTTGAAAGGCAGAGCCAAGGAGAGAGAGGGCTCTTCCGTCTGCTGGTTCATTCCCCAAGTGGCTACAATGGCTGAGGCCGGGCCCACCTGAAGCCGAGCGTGCCTTCCAGGTCTTCCATGTGGGTGCAGGGACTCAAGTACTTGGGCCATTTTCAACTGCCTTCCCAGGTCCGTTAGCAAGGAGCTGGATTGGAAGCAGCAGTTGGACTCTAACTGGTATCAAAGGGGATGCAGTCCTGCAGGCGTACGGTTAAGCCATGCCACAGTGTCATCTTCACTTTTTTCCTCTCTAAGATTTATTTTAAAGGCAGAGTTAGGAGAGGCAGAGACGAATCTTCCATTCACCAGTTCATTCTCCAAATGGCTGGGGCTGGGCCAGGTGGGAGCCAGGAGCTCCATCCGGGTCTCCCACATCAGTGGAGGAGCCCAAGCACTTGGACCGTCTTCCACTGCTTTCCCAGGTGTTAGCAAGGAGCTGGGTCAAAAGTGGAGCGAAGGGACTTCTAACCAGTGCCCATATGGAATGCCAATGTCACAGGAAGTGCCGTCATCCGCTGTGCCGGGATACCAGCCCCAGGAGCTCTTGGTGAGGGCTGGGTGGTGAGAGACAAGCAGGGCCGAGACGGATCCTGAGGTCCCAGTAGCACTCGGAGCCACTATTTCTGGTCTAGAGATCAGGGATTTTTTTTTAAGAGAATGTCTCTTTAAAATGATTGAAAAGCAGAGTGATGGAGATTTTCCATCTGCTTGTTCACTCTCCAGCGGGCAGGGCAGGGCAGGCGGGAGCCAGGAGTCAGGAACGCCATAGGAGTCTCCATGTGGGCGGCAGGGACCCAAGCGCATGAGCCGCCATCTGCGTTCACAGACGCTGGGTTGGAAGCAGAGCAGGCGCTGACACCAGGCATTTAGATACGGGACGCGGGGTTCGGCGAGGCAGCTTAAGCTGCTGCACCGCGAAGCTGGTCCCCGTCTGTCAACTGGCAAGTAGTCGTCGGAAGTTGTAGGACGATCATTCTCTATGCTGCTTGCTTGTTCTCAGCCCTGGGCTGCAAAAGTGTCCGGTCCTGCCGTGTCTCTGCACCTGCAGCAGGGGCTGGGCCTGAACGGTGGCTTGCCCCGCCCACCGCCCCCTCTGGCACCTCCAGATGCTGTGTGGAATCTCACGGTGTCTGCGTGCGATGTTTGGTTCGTGTCTCTGAGAGGCTGACTCCTGGGCCTGGTCGGAGGGCGAGAGGAGCTGCGTCCGCCCTGCCCAGTGGGCTGTTCTTGTTTGTCCTCCGTTTCGATTCTGCCTCCCCTCCTTCCCTTCAGAAGGTCAAGCACTGCAGAGAGGAGTCCCAGACAAGACCAGGGCCGGCAAGGAGGAGGCTGCCTGCCCAAGTGCTCTTCCGGCGCTGGGAGTCCTGGTGCTCTGGGATTTCTAAACGTTACGTATGATCTTCCCCCACACCAAGATTCTCCATGCAGCTTTCTCTGCTGTAGATGTTTCTCAAGTTAACGATAGGCCATGATCCCTTCGTAAAACCAGATTGAGCTACTTTAACAATTAGAAGCACACAGAACGGTGCAGGGTTACCGGGGAAACGGGTCTTGAATGCCATCAGCCTCTCTAATCCGAGCCTCCTGTGGCTTCCCAGCGAAGTCTCAAGTCTCAGGGAGGCCAGAGAGTTTGGACAAAGTTCAGCTGTGAGATCTTCGTTGTTAATTTTTAAAAATGTTCTAGAGATCTTTTTAAAAGGAATTTTAATTCTATCAACTCGAGAGGCAGAGACAGCAGTCCCCTCCCCCAGATGACTGCAACTGGAGCTGGAAGTCCAGTTCTGGTTCTCCGGGTGTGCGGCGGGGACCCAGTTGTTGGAGCCATCACCGCTGGCTCCCAGGAGGAAGCCAGGTTCTGTGGTGCGGGCGCCCCCCCCGCCCCCACAAATGCTGGCGCTCTGAGGTCACTTTTGGCCTGTAGCAGAAGGCCTCAGCAGAGAGGCGGGAACTGGGGTGTGTGTGTGTGTGTGTGTGTGTGTGTGTACGTACGCTCACTGTTGGAATTCCGACCCTTTTGGGCTAGAGGATGGAGGTCTGCCCAGAGCCCCAGCCGTCCGTCTCGGAAGGTGAGCCTGGGGCTGGGGCCTGGCTTTCCCGGGAGCTGTCGCTTGCCATCAGCAGGTCGCCTTTCTTCCTACTCTCTAAATGGCAGAACCTTGCCCACCACGTACCTGGCTCTTCGTCATCCGGTCCCATCAGCGTACACAGTCCCCACCCCTCCCCCACAGCTGCCCCATCGTTTCAACCTCTTCCTGTCACAGGGCCTTTGCACGCGCTCCCTCTGCCCGGAGCATGCTCCCCCAGTTCTTCCTAGCACTGGGCCATTTCAATGCTCAGTGTAACAGACTTCCTCTCGGAGCCTGCCGTGGGCGCCCTCTGTGACAGCACCTGTCTCCTCCCGGCGCCGTCAGTGCCTCCTGATGCAGGGGGCGTCTGCACTCCTAATACTTGTGTGCGGCGTGTGCTGTGTGTGCCAAATACATACACAAAACATGAAGTGACCCACAGATGCGTGAAACGGTGAGCTCTGCAGATAACAGCCCGGCACCACTTTGCCCTCTGAGCTGTGCCCTTGAGCGGGGGCTTCCATTCTGGGTGAGGTTAGGTCACCTAGACACTCACGGGGGCGGGTGCTGTGTAACTGGTGCCTGCTGAGCCGAGATCTGGCGCGAGCACCGAGCATGTCGATGGCGTGACGGAGCCGTGACCTGTGGGAGAGCTCCACTTGGCGTAGTTATCTCGTTTACTTGACCTCTGTCCAGGTCCCAGGCTGCAGCTGACCGTGAGACGCTCAGAAGTCTGCCCTTCTTAAGGGAGATGCAAGGCCTGGCTGAGGAAATCTATGAGACCATGGACAAGGCAGAACACTTACAAAAACGTTGGGCAGAAGGATCCAAGACCCCAGGCAAGTATCTCGTGATGGTGGGGCTACTGCTGCACCCGGCTTAGGGAGCGCCGGGTGGAGGCTGTGAGAATCGCGGATTCGGGTGCAATCCGTGTGCAGTGTGCGTTTTAGGGAAGGCGCGCCCTCTGGTGGACAAAGGTGGCACCTGCCGTCAGGTGGGGAGGGTTTCCCTCCTGTCCTGGCACCTGCCCTTGGAGGCACTGCGGGCCCTCCTGGCTTGGTCCGCACAGGTAGCCTCTGCACACTCCCCCTCTTCAGTTCCCTCTACGGCTGTTCTCGCTTCCCCATCCTCCCCACACACTCCCCCGCGCCCTCTGGATCCCTTCTCTGCCCGTGGACAGTCATCTCCCGTGCCAGCAGCACTGGCGCTCCTGTCTGGGGGCAAGCGCTGGTCCGGACGTCCGGACAAGGCTGCTCTCACCACACACCTTCTGGATACCAGGGTGGATTGTTCTCCAAGGGGAAGCGATTTCCACTCTTAGAAAAACATCCGCGTTCTAGGAGACCTCGACTCACAAATCTAGGCTAGAAAGAACGGATGCAGAGCTCGGCTCACAGGGAGAAGCCGGCACCTCGAAGGGCAGCTGCTGCCATCCTCTGTCTCCGAGTCGCGTTGCCGATGCAAGCTGCCTAATCACGGGGCCGTGGCAGGCCTGTCCTCTTAGCTCTGCCCCAGCCATGGCTGCATGCGAAATGCAGGCCTTTCAGTCAGATCTGGCTGTCGAGCAAACAACGAGTACTTACGTCCCAAACACCCCATACGCACAGCAAACAGCCGTTCACATTTTGTGTGAAACTCGAGCGTCACTGGATGCTGTTTTTATTGGGTAGATCTGACAACCAGAAGCCCTCAACTCAACTTTTTCTTTCCAAGTCACTTTTCCCCCTCATGGAGCATCTGAGACCATGGAGTGAGGTGCTGGCAGACGAGTGAGGTGGGGCTCCTCAGGGCGGGGCCTGTGTGGGGTGTTCCTTGGAGAAATGCGTGCCCCTCATGGGTGGGTGGGGTGGGCGTGGCCTCCGACCCAGCGCCCAGCAAGGACCAGGGTGGCCTCTGGCACCAACAGGTGATCTCGGATTAGGCTGTGTTGTAAGGGCTTTATGCTTCTATAACATTTGATTTAAAATGAAGCGTTTTTTTTTAAAAAAAAAAAAAACTTACATATGTATTTGACAGACTGATAGATCTTCGGTCTGTTGTTTCACTCCCCAAATACCCATGACAGACAGGACTGGGCCACGCTGAAAGCTGGAGTCTTAATGTGCTGTTGAAAGAAGAATTGAATTTAAAAATGTGAGCAGGCTCACAAACACCCATCTATTGGTTCCTTCCCCAAATGCCTGGAACAGTTGTGTTGGGTGAGGCCACAGCCAGGGTCCTGCAGCTCCATCTGGTCTCCCGCGTGGGTGGCAGGGACCCGAGTACTTGAGCCGTCCCCTGCTGGCTCTGAGTGCAGGAGCAGGAAGCTGAACCTGGGAGCAGGACTTGAACCTGGACACTCTGATCGGAAATGCAGGTGTCCTGGCAGCACAGCGAATGCTTGCCCGAGCTGCAGTTTTGGGATGGAGCTCCCCTTTATTTTTGACTTCCTGTTTGAGTCATTGCTATGGTACATGTGATTCATGTACCCAAAAAATTTGATTCACCCAAAAGATCAGAACGTCACTGTTGCCTCCTGCTTATGTTTTCATTTGTCGTCCCTCCCCGCTCTGCCTGCTGCCCAGTGCTCACGAGGCCTGCTGGAAGTAGACTGAGGAAGCAGCGCCGCAGCCTTTGATCATGGGCGTCTGCTCTGCGGGTTAGGTTTTTCCCAGGGAGTCGCTTAGCATCAGCGTGGCCTGGAAAGCAGGGGTGGTCTCTTCAGGTGGGCGCTCCTGGTTGGGCTCCTTTGTCTTTTGGGCTGGGGCTCTGACAGTTCATTGACTTGAACATAAGCCGGCACCAGCCCAGTCTCTGGGTTGATGTCCGCACTGATGTTTCCCGAATCTTCTCTGTTGCAGGCTCCCCTCGCGGTTCCAGTTCGACAGTAAGTATCTGGGCAGCTTTCAGTTAGACTGCAGAGGCCTGTGCTTGAGGGCCCAGCACTGTCTTAACGTGTACGCTGTATCTTCACACACTTCCTCCGGATTGGATCGGCGGTAACTGGGGTCGGAGCGGGGCTTGAGAGGACAGATTCCCTCCAGGGACTGGATGAGAGAGGACTTTAAATTTCCTCCAGCAGAGTTCTGGGTCTGAACAGGGGAGAGCTGAGGCCGGCAGGTGGTGGGGCTCCAGGGAGTTGGTGCGCAGGCCTGGCTCGAAGCTCGCCTGATCCCAAGTTGGGCCTGAGGTCTGTGTCTGTCACAGGAGCTGGGGGTCGTTTGCCCCTCAGGGGGCTTTGCCAGCTTCTGGACACCTTGTGGGTATCACCATGCCACAGCGGGGTCAGGGGGAGGTTGGATGGGGTCCACTTCCTGTCTGGAGTGGGTAGAAGCTTCTGGTCAGTGGCACAACCTATTTTAGGTGGCTGCCTAATCTTAGAAGGGTTTGTAAGGGTTCATTTAGAAATGAACAGGTAGTGAGCTGTTGGAGGAAAAGTGAAAGCATAAGGACGCACCAGTCCTTATGAATTGAATTGGACAGCAACATCACTGTACCCGGGAAATTATAATAGCACAGTAGAGTCACAAAAATGGACATTTTTTTAAGATTTTATTTTGAGAGAGTTAGAGAGACAGAAAGGTCTCCCTTCTGTTGGTTCACTCACCAAATGGCCGCAACGGCCAGAGCTGCGCTGATCCGAAGCCAGGAGCCTCTTCTAGGTCTCCCACGTGGGTGCAGGGGTCCAAGGACTTGGGCCATCTTCTGCTTTCCCAGGCCACAGCAGAGAGCTGGACTGGAAGAGGGGCAGCGGGACTAGAACTAGCACCCATATGGGATGCCGGCACCGCGGGTGGAAGATTAACCTACTGTGCCCGTGTTTGACCTCAGCAGCTGGAAGCATGGTGTGGGGAGAGGACATTTCCTGGGAAAGATTCGGGAGGGTATTCCTGGGCAGGGGGAGGGTCTGGCTGGGGGAAATTGGGAGGCTGATCTCGGACCTGCGCGTCCCAGCGGTGCCGTCACGCAGGCCGTAGGGGGAACCAGTTTGGAGGTGGGGTATCGGCTGGTTATGGACGTGGAAGACGGTGACGCGAAGTTGACCGTGGAAGGACGCTGAGGCAGAGCATGGATGTGACGGGGGAGGGGAGGCCTGCAGGAGCCCTCGCTTCGGAGAAGGGTGGGACAGACGGGGTGCAAGCCCTGGGAAGCCACACCGGGGAGGTGTGTGTGGGGGGAGCTGCTGCAGCGTCGGCACTGAGAAGTGACCGCGGAAGCGGACCTGTGGAGCTTGCTGTGATGTTGGCGGGAACAGTGTTAGGCGAGGATCTCCAAGCACGTTTGCACCAGACTGGTCACCTTTGAGTTCCAGTTTCCATGAGCTTTCTAAGTCCCTGGTGACACCGTGGGTGCTTACGTGATGCAAGGCAGCTACAGTGTCACAGGGAACAGAGCCTTACGGGATGGCTGTCCTCTGTGCAGTCCACTGCGGACCACATGGGTGCACAGCGTTTTTCCCGTTTTCTCTGCATCGCCCTGTCTAGCTTCCTTTAGTGTCTTGGTGCGAGGGCGGCTGTGGCTTTGCTGGCTGTGAAAGCATCTGCTCCTGACTGTGAGGAGGGGTTTATTTCCTCTCTCCCTGAACTTGCGCCTGGGGAGAAGGTGCCTCCCCCTCTCCTGAGCAGGAGGGGCTTCTTGACTTCGTTATTTACCCAAAGCCGGGGAGGAGAAATCCGGTCTGTAGTTCCATCCCGTGAGGTGTAGGACGATGTCCCTTTAGCCGCAGCTTCACTTTCCTCTGGACCACACTTCTGCAGACTGCACCCCCAAGTCCAGCTCCGTGGAGGCGGTGCGGGGCCGGTGAGGGGGGGAGGAGCCACGTGTCTTGCGTGGAGGAAGGAGAGTGTCCAGCCGGTTACGCTGTGAGCCAGCGAGGACCGGGCGCAGCCGAAGTATCGGAACACATCACCAGCGGCAGGCCCACTTTGGTCATGCTTCGGTATACCGTTTTCTTAGTCCTTACTTGTAAACGACAGATGACTGCGTCCTTATCCAGCCTTGAAGCCGGCGTGGCTTCAAAAACCTGCGAAGTTGGTGCAGTGTGTTACAGAAACGGGCACCTGTGCCCCCTTCTCCTGTTCGTATCTTCAAAGCGTAACCAATGAAACAACCCAGGAGAAGAATCGCATCTTGTCTGTCCAGCGGCTGGGCGAAGCGCATGCTGCTATCGGCAGGACCCCTGCCTCCTGCCGTCCTGCGGTGTCTTGTCTGTCTCATTTAATTGAAACGACCAAAGGAGGACTCTCGGGTGTTTCCCCTGCCAGGTGGAGCTGCAGGAGGCGGAGGAGCTGACAGCCACGCTGGAAGTCCTGCAGCAGCGGCCTCACCTCTGGGACTTCCTGCTCTCCCTGCCGGCGCTGCAGGACGACGGCCTGCGCACGGCCCTGCACTTCCTCCAGGCCGCTCGGGGGTGAGCGAGAAAGCGCAGCGGAGCTCAGCTCAGCGGGGGTGTTGGTGTTTCTGCCTCGATTTTAAATGGGAAAATACGTCACCAAGTAGCTGTTCCGTTGGAACAAACCCCTGCTGTGGTGTCCCCCCTCCCCCCGCCCATGGCTGAGCACCTGCGCCCGTGTCTGTTCCTTGCCCTCGGTGCACACGCGTGTTGTGCGCTGGTGCTTCCGGGCTGTTCCACAGGGGCCTCCCTGGAGAGAGAAGCCCAGCCTTCCCTCCCAGTTCTTGCAGCTTGGGAGGAGCCACTTTTCATGCCTGCGTGATGTCCTGGGTTGGCAAAGTACCATATCTGTCATCTACTTACTAATTTTAGTGATAGACCTTTGTTTTCCACTGATAGGAATGTGCCATGGATATGGTTATTCTAGCCAATAAATTACGCCACAGCTGCTCTAAGCGCCACCCAGAGCTGCTGAGCCCAGTAGTCCCCGTTGGTCATCGGCAAGGTGGATGTGGACCGGTGATGGATCAGAACCTGGGGTGTTCCTGTGGTTGAATTCACACTGCTGTTTTTGCAGCTGAATTTTGTGGTGCTAACTCATTGCGTGAATGTGGTGTTTTCTTAGCAAAGGTTTGTAATCTCACAATATTAACTGTTGTTTATTTCATCTGCCATCGGTGAGAGCAACCAGCATTGTCCCCAGGCAGGGCCGAGAGGGGCTCAAGTCCCAGGCTTGCTGTTTTGGTGGCCTCTTCCTCTCCTCTCCAGCCTGTGCCCCTGCCTGTGGCACAGGAAGAGGCCCATGGGGCCGAGGGCTGTGTCCACAGGGTCCATGCCCTCAGCCTCCCTCTCCCTGTGGCCTCCCACCCCAGAGCCTGCCCAGGGCCCCTTGCCCAGGCCCTCCCTCCCAGGCAGGCCTTACCTCTGCAGTGTGCGCCCCCAGGCCCAGAGTGCTCCAGGGGCAGCCGCAGGAGTGGGGGCTGGAAGGGTGGGTGTCCTCGGCTGTGCCTGCAGGAGGACCTACATGCAAAGGGCTCCAGAGACTTTGTGGAGGTTTTCCTTCATCTTTTTTATAATGTTAATGTCCTGTGAACTCTGTAAAGCCCCTTCATGTGTACTGAGCCCCTTGGGAGGAGCTGAGGGTAGGGCCGGGGCCAGATCCTTGACAAACTCATGGTCTGGTGCACAGATCCAGGGGTCAGAAAATCCTAAACTGGAGTGTAGGAAGATGTCTCTGTCCTTGTAGGAACAGGTGCATGTTTTGAGAGATTGTGGCTTGGTCTGTCCCTGGGGGTCTGGGCTTTGTTGGGGGACTCCTTTGTATTCTTCCCTGAGCCCGGAACCTGTCCTCTGTAGATGGCAAGCATTCGGCTGTTTTGCGATGAGAGAGGCCTTTGAGATTAGAAGGTGTTTGAGTTGTTGAACCACGTCGGCCTCAGCAAACGTTTTATTTTGATATTGTGCTTGTGTGGCAGTTATTTGCCTTCTAAGAGAGAAGCATTCTCAAGAGGTGCCAGTTTGTTTCACGACTTAACTAGTGATGTCAACATGAAGATGCTGGGAGAGATTTTCCCCTGTGACAGCTAGGGAAGTGAACCTGTTTGAAAGCATTACTCGGGGCTGTGTCTGCCTCAGGTTGCTAAAATGTAGATACCCCAAGGCACTTCAAAAATTTGCAGAAAACTGGAATGAAGCATAAGTCAACTTTGGTGCTAAAAATATTTGAAATCCATACTTTTTCCTAATACTCATTCTTTATGAACATGTAGGGGTCATCTTGTATTCCCACTTTGGTCAAATGTGTATTCTGACCTCACAAAGTTAGATCAGCCCCATAGAAAGCCCCTCCTCCTGGCCCCTGAAGCTCTGGCACCTTCAGACCTGGGTGTTAAGATGGTGGAGGGCAGGGCCCTGGGCAGCTCCAGTGGGCTGACCTCTGAGTGTGAGATGGCCTGGTGGCCTCCAGTTGAGATAAACTGAGTGACCATTGCTTGTCTGAGACAGCAGCACACATGCCCTGGCTGGCCGTGCTGGCCACGATAACCGGGCAGGAGACCTGAGCTGTTGGGAGATGGTTTCACAGTGGGGCCGGCCCAGACCTGCGGTCCGCTCAGAGGTGGAGGGAAAGGTGGCCAAAGTTCTTGAGAGGGACAGACCTCTCCCACTCAGCCCCTACGCAAGGAGCTGAGGTCCCGTGAGCCGTGAGGAATCCGGCCACATCTCTCCCCAGAGCTGGACGCGGTCACGGGACCTCAGGCTTCCTAACCGCCAACTCCTGCTGCTTCTGTTTGGTTTTGGTTTTAGTTTCTTGATGTCCCTGGAAGGATCGGCTTGGCTGCCACTCAACCACACCTTCTCCTGGGCTTCTGGGAGCCTCCTGAACGTGACCATCTCCACGCTGACGACTCTGCAGCGACATGGAGCGGCGCTTGCTGGTACGGACGCCTTGGGCTGGCGCTGCATGGCAGATGCTCCACTGTTTACATGTACTGACCACATACATCCCACCTGCTGATTCAAGAGGCGGTTTAATTAAAATATCACGCCAAAGAGGATCAGCTGATTCTCTCAACAAAGTTAGAATGAGTATTGGAGTTAGAGTGAATATGACTTTCTACCACTGTTGAGATTCTGTAGTCATTGCTGACAGAAATGATGTTTTAACGTGACCGGATGTCCTCTGAGGTTAGACTCGTCACTGGTTCTGCAGCTCTGACTTTTCCCCTCAGGAAATGTTTGGAGCCCTGTAGGGAGGAGGGGGCAGCTTGGTGTGTCCTTGAAGGGCCCTTGAATGGGCTCATCCAGCCCTGCTCCTGACTTGCCTGGTGATCTGGATATGTTACTTCTACTTCCCTCTTCTCTTTCTTCTCTCTCTCCCTCGAAGTGAAATTCAGAGAACAATGAGGTTAGAGGTTACACATTCATCCCTCTGTCCAGCCAGCCTTCTACCCAGCCCCTCACCAACCCACTAATCCATCCACCCACATGTCCATCATCCACCTGTCATCCATCCGTTTGTTCGTTCTCTCACTGTGAATACTTATTGAAGGCTTCCTCTGAGTCGCACGCTGTCCAGGCATGAGAACAAGAAGATGAAAAGAACACAGTTTTGCTCTGGAGAAGTCATAGTTGGTAAAGGAGACCCGTGTGTCAATAGAGGAAAAGCAAAGGCCACAGTAGGCTTGTGGCGTCCTCAGGAAGAGCCCCGCGCAGGACAAGCTGGAGCTCATCAGAGACCAGGGAGCGTCTCCCGGAAGCGTGTGGAGGGCTGGGCGTGCTGAGAGCTGTCCGTGTGGCTGGGGAGCCTCGGGAGGTGGCAGGAGGTGGCTTGGACAGGGAGCCCAGGCCAGGACACAAAGGGGCATGGGAGCAGTGGCGTGAGACCTGCCTCGTCGAAAGAGACTCTCGGGGCAGAGATGGAGGGAGGAGTGGAGCAAGCAAGGCTGGGGTGAGCCTGTGATGGAGTCTCTGGTCAGCTGCCTGCTCTCGAGGTGTGAGTGTGAGACGGACTCCGTGATGGTGTCAGCAGCTGCCTTCAGATGACTCTGTGCGCGGCAGTCTCGGATGATGCCCTCCGTCTCCCCGTGCCGCACCTCTTGCTTGCGCCTCGGCACAGGGAGAGCCAGGGAAGGGCTCCTCTGAGGGCTCTGTCACAGGACCATTGAGGCAGAACGCGGTTTTCACGCTGGGCCAGTTCCAGCAGGAACTACTGTTTCTCTCTATGCTCAGAACAAAACCCAGAGCCGGGGAGACGCAGCAAGTGCCACGTTGAAATCTTCCCGGAGACCTCGCTTCTAGCAAACAGTGGAAGCTCAAAATTTTGTACATCATTCAAGTTATGCTAATTGATTTACTCACAGGGGCCAGCACTGTGGCATAATGGGTAAGACTGCCGCCTGCAGCGCTGGCATCCCGTATGGGCGCCGGTTCAAGTCCCGGCTGCTCCAATTCCAATCCAGCTCTTTGCTATGGCCTGGGAAAGCAGTGGAAGGTGACCTGGGTACTTGGGTCCCTGCACTTGTGGGGAGAGCTGGAAGAAGCTCCTGGCTTCAGATTGGCTCAGCTCCAGCTGTTGCGGCCAACTGGGGAGTAAACCAGATGGAAGATCCAGCAGGGAGCTGGATCAGAATTGGAGCAGCTGGGACTCAAACTGGCACCTGGATGTGGGATTCTGTTGTCACAAGTGGCTGCTTAACCACAATGCTGGCCCTGGGATGAGTATCTTGGGTTTTCAGTTCTAGATGGTAGCTTATTTTGGTAGCTTATGGGTTTTAAATCTTGATTATCTCAATTTGGGGAGCCTTTTCATGACTCTTAAAGTTTTTGGAAAGATGGTTTTAAAGAACCCATTGTATTTTGTGGAATAAATGTACTATAAATTAATCCTTTTCCCTGTTGCTAGCAACTAAGATGATTTTCAGGAGTTAATCGGTTTAAAACCAGTGCACTACCACTTTTGTACATTGATTTTTTTGGTTCAGAAATCTGATTTGGTTTCTTGAGCAAGATTCTAGGTGTGAGATTAGTGGGCTCAATAAATGTGAATGTCCAGGCTCTCACAACACGTTTCAAATCACTCTCTGGAAACTGTGGCATTGTTTATGCCAGGAGCCGGTGGCGACTCGGCGTTCTCTCCACAACATTGAGCACTGGCTTCTGTCTGCTTTTCAAAGCATATTTGTCTTTCATTTGCTTTTCCTTTGGAGGTGAAAATAACATTGCTTCTTGACTTACTTTCCACACATCAACGTACTGACCGACTGACAGCATGGACTGCTTGTTTCCCAGGGTCTGGGTCCCGCCTGTCCCTGCGGAGTGTCGTGTGGGAGCCACAGAAGGTTCAGGCCAATCTCCAGACTCGGTTCGGGTTGGATGAACTTCACACGGGACAGATCCTGAATTATTCAGCTGAACTAAGGGAGGTATGCACACTTGCCTGCTCGTCGCCCCACTGGGTCTCCCCACAGGGGCGGCTCCAGCCTTACCTGTGGGCTCCACATCCATGGATTCAACCAACCGGGGTCACAAATATTTGGAAACACACCTTGTATTTGTGCCATTGTTCTCTCGCGACACAGTGTAACAAGTCATTATGTAGCATTTACGCTGTGGAGGGGTTTAGAGGATGCGCACAGATTATGTGTATACTCTGCACGGTTTCGTCTAGGGACACAGCATCTGCAGGATGCTGAGGGATGACTGTGTAGACTGAGGCAGGGTGGGCAGTGGTGACGGGAGGGGGTAGCCAGATGGGAGAGTTCTCCTGCTAAGCTGAGCTTCTTGGACATGGCCAGGCCCTGTGGTCTCTGGCCTGTATGGAAGGGTCCTTTCTTCCTTGGTACTTTATCCAGACTCCTAGACTCTTGCTAGTCCTGGGAATGGTCAGCAGGTGGAGGCACTGGCTCAGGTGAGGGCGGGAGTTTGAGAAGCTGAGACACAGCAGGCAGGGCCCAGTGGGAGTGTGTGTGGGCACAAGTGGGTGATTTTCCAGGGGAAAAGATGGTTGTTACGAGAGCAGGAGGTGTAGGCCATGGTGGCCAGCTGAGCTCACCGCAATTGACTTCACCTTCCCAGAGCGGGTGAAGTAAAGAGGTGGACCTGCTGACACACAGCCCAGTTCTCCTCCTGATGTTGAGGCTTGGGGGTGCCCTTGGCCTGCCATCTCCCTTCGGTGGCTCCAGCCTGTTTGTGGGCACTCTGCTTAGTGCAGGGTGCAGGCCTGAGGCTGTACCTGTCACTTGGCTTCACTGACCCCTCCTCCAGCCCCCACTTCTGGGGCTGGGGCTCCCTAGGTCAGGTCTGAGCCATGAGAGACTGCAGCCCCATCCCGTTTCCTAACGAAGTAGACTCTGCTCCCTTCTCTAAGTTCCCACCAGCTGGTCTCCCCATTGGCACTGGATGGTATGACTGTGGGGTCCAAAGTTCCTGTGTTGGAATCGCGATGCCCAGATTCATAAATTGGTGTATGGAGGTGGGGCTTTGGGGAAGTGATTGGGACTAGATGAGGTCACCTGGTGGGGTGCCCATGACTGCAGCCTCAGCTTTGTAAGGAGGAGAGGCCAGCCCTGGCAGGTACACCTGTCTGTGATGTCACGGCGGCCAGAAGGATGATATCAGAAGTTGATACTGTAGGTCCAGTACGCTTCCCTCCTTCTAAGCTGCCCAGCCTTGGGTGGTTCTTCAGCAGCAGTAGAAAATGGACTAGGATGGCACGTCTCGTGTGTACTTGTGGCTACGCCACGTGCAAACTGCTGCTCTGGCCTTGTGGACTCTGGTGCCCCTGGGAGTAGCTCCTCCCACACTTTACCAGTGGACACAGCCACTGCCCTGCCCAGTCCTAGGCTCCTCCTCTATCTGTCCCCTCTTAGGAACTTAGCCACCCAACCTCACCTCCTTTGTGGAGCCCCTGTGACCTTCTCCGGTCTCTGCCCTTACTCCTGTGACTATTTGTGATGGAGACCATCCTGGGAACCTGTCAGCTACACATGTGTGTATAGGCGACCACAGGCGGCTGGGCAGAGTCGGGCCTTAGCTTTCTAACATGAGTGTCTTTGTGGCTTTAAGAGTCACAAGTGAATGGTTTTAATCTGATACTACGGAACCTACAAAATGAGCAAGTGAGGCACTCATGATTTCTAGTCACTGGTTGTTTAGTCCATCTGGGCTGCTGGACAAACCCCCCAGCCTGGCTGGCTTCTAAACCACAAGTCTGTTGCTCCCAGTTCTGTAGGCTGCGCGTCTGCCAGGGCAGATCCAGTGTCAGGTGACGGACGGTCTTCCTTGGGGTTCCGAGTCCGTGCCTCCTCAATGTGCCCCACTCAGTGGAGGGGCTGGGGAGCCTCCATGGGTGTCTCCCTTTTATAAAGATTTATTTACTTATTTGAAAGATGATTAGGGGAAGAGAGTTTTCCGTTGGCTGGTTCATTCCCAGATGGCTTCAACAGCCAGCTGGGTTAGCGCTGGGCTAGGGCTAGGCCAAGGCCAGGAGCTTCATCTGTGTCTCCTACATGGGTGGCAGGAGCCCATACACTTGACCCATCTGCTTTTCCCAGACCATCAGCAGGGAGCTGGATGGGAAGTGGAGCAGCCAGGACTCAAACTGGCACCTAGGTGGGATGCTGGTGTCATCAGTGGTGGGCTCACCTGCTGTGCTGCAGGGCTGGCCCCACGGGTCTTTTTGGTAGGGGCACTGATTCCATCATGAAGTTCAAAGCCTCGTGACCTGATCACCCTGTGGGGTTAGTGTTCCCTCTGGGGGCTGGAGTGTAAACAGCCAGAAGCAGCCGCAAGCGGAATTCCTGGAAGATCCCCAGAAGCTAGAAAACATGGAGCGGATGTGACATCAGCTGGAGTGTTTGAAAAACTGGGTGGATGTCCAGCGCAAAATGGAAGACGTTTGCTTCTGACGCAGGGCCCCACTTTCCCTTGCTCATAATTAGGAAAAGAGTTCTTTTATGAAAAAGCAGCTTCATTGGTGCCAAGTATCAACCACATAGGGCCAGTCCCTGTTTGCTTCTGGTCCTGGTGGGCAGCGTTTGCTGGCCTCTGCTTGCCTTGGGTGTGGAGACACAGCAGGAAACAGACTGTCTCCTCCCCTAACTGCCAAGGTCTCCCCTCAGTGTCAGTCACTTAGGTGTCCTGGTGGCCTCTCAGCACCTGGGCCGTCTCCAGTCGGAACAGGAGGACAGCATTCACGTCGGCTGTGTCGGTGTGTGACGTTTAGGTGAGAAACGCTCCAGGGAAGAGGTGCTCCTTCTGAATCTGTGTCCTGCTGTTGCCAGATGCTCACGGCCAGCTCCCTGGAGAGGGTGGTGTGCTCCGCCCTGTCCAGCACATCCCAGGACGGAGCTGCAGGAGGGGGCCACCGTGGAGACTGCCAGCTCCAGTGGTCAGAAGCCAAAAGCTACCTTGTGCATGCGGTCAGCTGGCTGCGCGTCTACAGACAGGTGATGCCCATGTCCCGATGCCTGGCGCAGCGCCTGCCAGTTCACAGCATGTCCAGATTTGGCCCCTTTCCTCCCAAGTTCGTGCTTTGATGTCACGTCCTTCCCAGAGAAGGGCGTCACGATCCTGCTCTCTGGCCTCAGCTCCGTAGGCCCTCCATGCACCCCACCCAAAAGTCTGTCCTAGGCTCACACACACCTGCACCTGGGAGCCCAGGCTCATGCCCTATTGCTGGTGCCAGAGACTCCCCTGGGCTCCTTGGGCGTCTGCCTGCCAGCATTCCACGCATCTGGTTCTCTCTGGTTTTGCCCAAAAGGCACTGTGCACAGAGTAACCATGACTTCACAGTTGCTGGGCAGGGCAGGGCCCATGTGATGAGACTGCTGTGGCCTTGGGAGCCCTGGGTCTCACTTCTGTGTTTTGGGTGGTTTTGTGGGTGCGAGGCAGAGCCCCCATCTGCTATGGCAATCGCCTCCCATTCTCTAGGGGTCCCCATGTTCCCCATTTCAGGTTTTTCTCCAGTAACTCACTGTTACCCCCACCTTACCCCAATATGAGTTGCCCACATAGTGAATTAAACATACTTGGAAAAACAGAGGCATGACTGTCCCCTTGCTGGCACTACAGGTGATCAAGAGACTGACCGTGTTGAAATGACCAATATCAAGACGCTCAGGTGGCCCCCTTCGTTTCGGGTGTTACCTGGGCAGTGCCAATGCATATTAATTATGGCTTCATTAGCACACACACCTAGGCATCCTGCTGCTTCCCGTGTGATCTGGGGTGAGCAGTCTACACTGGTGTGATGTGGCTGATGAACCATGACTCCGATTATTTTAGCGTCGTCATCCACAAGTCCACATCATGAAAGGTTTAGGAACTGGGCATTAACGATGTTACATATTTTAAAGTAAATACATTACATGCACTATCCTCAATGTACCTGTTAGTTTTAAGTTATATTTCATTTCTTCAGAAACTTATGTGACTGCCTTCTCGATGACAGCTAGGAGGCCAGTTAAAAAGCTGCCTGCGTCCACTATCGTATTTGTAATTGCACATTTCTGAGTAGAGATTAAATAATTACTCCATTGTTAGACACTTTGCCAACAAAGTGCAGCAGTGGCTGCCTGTCAGAGAATGGGTCGTTGATACTTCTTAGCTGAGTAATGTCTCTAGTTTGTGATCATTAAGAATAATCGCCTTCTTTCTAAATCTGTAGGTGCTTGACTGGTGGCAACAGCGTGGCGTGCTGCGGGAGGTGCTCACTGGGGCCGGCTGCAGTCTGGGGGCCCTGGGGGCTCGGCTGGAAGAAGGGAGTGGGCCGTGGCAGGTGGTGCAAACTGTGCGCACTGGGCTGCTCCTGCTGCAAGGCAGCCTGGTGGCCGAGGGCCCTGAAGACGAGCGCTCGCCACCTAAGACGTGAGTCCCACTTCTCTGCTTCACTACTGACTGGGCTCTGAGAGCACCGGACTTTACAGAAGGCGTGAACGATTCTGAGAGCAGCAGGACCTGTGAAACAGTGAGGCAGTGCGTTCCTAGTTAGCAACGGGGAGTCCACAGCTTTCCCTGTGGACAGAACACAAGGTGGCCTGGACCGCTGCTCAGGTGTCTGGGTAGTGGGGTGATTTTTATTTTTAAATATTTATTTGAAAGGTAGAGAGATGGAGAGGCAGATTTTCCATCTATTGGTTCACTCCCCAAATGACTCCAAGACCAGGGCTGAGCCAGGTTGAAGCCGGGAGCTCTGCCCAGGTCTCCTGTGTGGTCTCCCTGCTCTGCAGGGGAGCACACACTTGGGGCATCTGCTCTCTCAGGCTATTGGCAGGTAGCTGGAGCAGAAGTGGAGCAGCCGGGACATGAACTGGTGCCCATTTGGGATGCCGGCAGCGGCTTTACCTGCTACACTACGGCACTGGCCTGAGGGCAGTGATTTTTACAAGTTGTCAGCTTCCTGGATTCTAGGTGCTAAGTCTTTGGTATTTGTTTCAAAAATGAACAACTACATTTTAGAGGTTCTTTCATGTAAGGCACTGCTTTTATATTTGTTTAAAAATTGCACGTTTGAAGCTTTTACGTAAAGTCTAGAAGTATTTTCAAAGTGGAAAGGTGGAAATTGTGGTTTTTCTGCTTTGAGGCTCACCAAAGTTTCTGCACCAAGTGGTCGATTCTTGTGCAAGCGTGGTCTGTCTTCCGATCCGTGAGGAGCTGTGGTAAAGTGACTCCAGACCCAGGTTCGTCCACCGTGGGGAAACGAAGAGTTTGGAGTTCAGAGAGCAGAGGAAAGACCGTGTCAGGGCCCTCTGGCGAATCAGTCCCTTGCTCTGGCCAGACTTCCTGGAAGTCCAGGCACTTACAGCACTAGAGGACAACACAGCTAGTCTGTATGTGCTCCAGGGAGGTGTTTAATTTTATACTCACGGACCCTTAGTGGTTGACATTGTCTTTCATGGTAGGTGCTAGATAATTATGTTGGTTTAATGAATGAAAACAAATTGGTCATTTAGTACGGTCAGTGGGAAGTAAGCTGAACTCAAAATGAAAACCCTGGGTTGTATCCTGTTTCTGCTGCAGGAAAACAATGTGAATCTGCTAGTTTGAACAATTTAGAAAGTTTCTTTTTGCACAAAATGGCAACACTGATGCACACCTAAATGCTGTTGTGGGGAGAAGCAGGCTGTGGCTGTACAGTGCTTTGTCTGCTGTGAGGCCGCAGAATGCTGTCAACAGTACTGCCTCCTGCACTCCTCACTGGGCTCCCAGGCCACTCCCAACCTGCTCCGTCTCCGTACAAACGAAGGCGGCTCTGGGTTCTGCTCTCCCCATGCACGGTTGCTTCCGGGTTCCTATTGAATTCCTGATAGAACTTTGATTGTCTCTGGAAATTGTTTCGAAGCAGCCCCTCTCTGTCTTAGGGAGAATTTAGTTCATTGTTTTATCTACCGATCTGTCTATAGATAGATGTCAGGTGTTGGCTATCGGAGAGGAAAACAACATTCCTGAATTTGGCCTATCGCATCCCCATCCTACACAAGACTCCCAACAGGAGTCCAGAGTTAAAGAAGTTAGACGGGGATTGAGCAGAGGAGTGACCAATAGTCAGTAAAGGGCCAAACTCCTCAGTTTTGAATGCTGAAGTCTGAACATTGAAGCTTTTCTTGTGGTTGGCATTCAGCTGATTCAGTGAGATGTCTCTGCAAGGGAGCCTGCTGGTCCCACGGCGAGACCATCCCTGGAGTCAGCGCGGTGGAGTAGCTGTTGATGGGGGCACTGCACCTGGCCGAAGACGCTCATCTGATGCCTGTGCTGCGGACTTGTCCAGTCTGAGTGCTGAGTTCTGAGACGGGGTCCCAAGGACTCTGAGAGTGGACTTGTGGGATCACAGTAAGAGTGCCACAAGGGTGGTCTCCTACGAGAGTGTGCTTGTCGTAACACCTCGCTTGCTCTTCTAGAACTCATTTATTTTTAAATAGTCACCTGGACAATAAAATTCTTCGCATGAAGCAGTTTCTAGAGTAGGATGGACAGCACTGTTAAGAGCGCTGGCACTGCCTTGTGGGGTGGGGAATCCCAATAGTTTTCCATAAACTCTGCAGGCACAGTATCTGGGTCCCCGCTATATGGGCTGCCCCAGACACTGGAGATGTGATGTGGAACAGAACCCCAAGATGCTTCTGGCATAAGCAGGAAATGCATCTAAACAGTCATGCACAGGGATTCACGGGGGGATAACTCAGAATGCATTATTTTTGATTGTCAGAAGTAATTATTTTTTAGGATTCTTTTAAAATTTTTCTTTTTGACAGGCAGAGTTAGACAGTGAGAGAGAGACAGAGAGAAAGGTCTTCCTTCCGTTGGTTCACCCCCCCAAATGGCCGCTACAGCCGGTGCGCTGTGCCGATCCAAAGCTAGGAGCCAGGTGCTTCCTCTAGGTCTCCCATGGGGGTGCAGGGCCCAAGGACTTGGGCCATCCTCCACTGCCCTCCCGGGCCACAGCAGAGAGCTGGCCTGGAAGAGGAGCAACGGACAGAATCCGGCGCCCTGACCGGGACTAGAACCTGGGGTGCTGGTGCTGCAGGTGGAGGATTAGCCAAGTGAGCTGCAGCGCCGGCTAAAATTTTTATCTTTAAAAATTATTTTTTTGAATGGCAGTTTTACACACACACACACACACACACACAGATTTTCCATCCTCTGGTTCAGTTCCCTAGTGGCCAAAATGGCTGAGGCTGGGCCAAGCTGAAGCCAGGAGCTTCTTTCAGGTCTCCCATGTGGCTGCAGGGTCCCAAACACTTGGGCCACCCTCGGCTGCCTTGCCAGGTGCATTAGCAGGGAGCTGGACCAGAAGTGGAGCAGCCAGGATTTGAATGGGTGTCTGTATGGGATGCTGGCATTGCAGGTGGTGTCCCAACCTACTATGCCATAGCATTGGCCCCAAGACGTTATGTTAAGGGACTCTCCCCCAAAGCTAGGGATAACCTGACATGGGTGGTAGGGACTCAGTACTGGAGTTATCACCTGCTGCCTTCCGTGGTGCACTTTAGCAGGAAGCTGGGGTGGAAGTGTGGCTAGGGATTGAACCCTGGAAACGCCAGTACGGACTGTGGGCACCCCAAGCAGCATTTATGGGAAACACACCAGGGAGGGAAACATTTTGAGCTAAGTACATACTACTGGGGGCCGGCACTGTGGCATAGTGGGTAAAGCCACAGCCTGCAGTACTGGCATCCCATATGGGCACCGGTTTGAGTCCTGGCTGCTCCTCTTCACCCAGCTCTCTGCTATGGCCTGGGATAGCAGTAGAAGGTGGCACAGGTCCTTGGGCCCCTGCACCCGCATGGGAGACCTCTAAGAAGCTCTTGGCTTCGGATCAACACAGCTCTGGCCATTGTGGCCAGTTGGGGAGTGGACCAGTGGATGGAAGTCCTCTCTCTGCCTCTCCTTCTTTCTCTGTGTAACTCTGACTTTCAAATAAATGAATCTTAAAAAAAAATACCAGTGGATTGTGGTTTTCTTTTTTCTTTAAGATTTATTTGAGAGGCAGAGAGAGAGAGAGGTCTTCCATCCAATGGTTCACTCCCCAGTTGGCCACAATGGCAGGAGCTTCCTCCAGGTCTCCTACGCGGGTGCAGGAGTCCAAGGACTTGGGCTATCTCCTACTACTTTCCCAGGCCATAGCAGAGAGCTGGATGGAAAGCGGAGCAGCTGGGTTTCGAACTGGGGCCCATATGGGATGCTGGCGCTTCAGGCCAGGGTGTTAACCTGCTGTACCACAGTGCTGGCCTCTGGATTGTTTTTCTAAAACACTGTCAAATATTCACATTAGTTTAATTTCTTCGGGGGAATACATTGCCTTGAAAAAGTTTCATTTATGTTTTGCTGTAAGTGATTATTATCTTGGAAATTTAAACAAATACTTCTTTCTGATCACTTCTGTCATTGTAGGGCATTAAACTTCACAAAGCGCCTTTTAATGATGAAAAAGTTGTTTTCATTGATGATGAACACGTGGACTTCCTTTTGTCCTTTGTGGGAGTTTTGGAGACCCCATTGTCATTTAATCCTGTTGACTCACAGATGAGTGTCCCAGATTCCACAGCCTCCCGTCCACCCCTGAGAATATCCTAAATGTTCTAAATACACGTACTTCATGGTTGAATCGCTTAAAAAGTTTAGAGATGGAACCATCTCCCATCCATGTTCGGAAGCTTTTGGAATTTGGCAAAGAGGTGACTGAGAATACAAACTCTTGAAAGTAACTGGGTGAGTGAGGAACCAGGACATCTTTTGAGGTTCCTGGAATTAACACATAATTCCAAGCTGCCAGAATCATGGCTCTATGGCACTTCAAAAGAAAAAGGAGCTAAGTTGGATGTCTGGTCTACACTTCTAAATTTTTCTGTCCCGGAAAATGAGAAAGTTCTTAGTAAAAGCTTTGACTTTTCCCAGCGGCTCCGTTCAGATTGGCCTGGTTCCCCAGGATGACCGTGGATCTTGTACATCCGAGTGAAGCTGTGATCAGTAGTCTCTCTGAGTCTGGATTTCTGGGGCAGGAACAAGTCTCGAAGCTCTTGGCGAAGTCTATATGATAAAGAACACGTCTGATCCTTTTATAGCTCTTCCTGAACCTCAGAAGCAAGATGGTGATAACATTTGGGCTCATTTAATCAGTATCTCCAAGGACAAGGATTCGGCTTTACTTCTGCAAGTTTATTCTCCATTTTATCAGCCCATTTATAAGTTCCTGAGCACTCAGAGCCGAGAGTCTTTGCTAACTTTCCTTACACAAATCTCAAAACGCATTTTGGATATCATAAAGCAATTTAATTTTCAGAACATCAGCAAGGCATTTGCGTTTTTATCTGAGGCAGCAGGGCTTCTCGGGGGGAATTTCCGAAGTACCACCTTGTCAGCAACTGCTTTCAATTTTTAACTTCCTGGAGCTGAAAGCCGAATCCTTGATGTCTGCAGAGGGCCAGGAATCGGAGGGGATCCACGCCACGCTGACGGGCCTCAGACAGCCGCTCACGGTGGATGAAGGTTTGCGCACCTCTATCTCAGTACGTGAGTCAGTTCTTCAGTGGCTCGCCAGGGGCCCTGTTTGGTGAGTGCTTTGTCTGGGAAAATAAACACATTTCTCCCACGACTTCCTCAGCGCACGAAGGATCTTCACTCGCTCTTCCATGGGACGAGGTTCTCCGAGCTCTCGGCTGAGGGCGGTGCGCTGAGTGAGTTCCGAGCCGTTCACTGCGCTGTGGCGTGGCTTCAGACGCGGGCTGGCGTCTGGGGAAGCTTATCTGAGGTGTATAAACTTGACACAAATGTCTTCACCTCTCTTCATGTTGGTCTCACTCAGCTTTTGGAGGAGTTGGAAAAGGATGGGAAAATTTCCCAAACCTGCCAGAGACCACTTCCCACCCACCATGCTGCCAGGCTCATATGAAGTTTAAGAATGTAGGTGAAGTCTCGATGCCCGTGATTGGAATGACTTGGGGGCCTCACAGATCTCTGGGTGGCATTAGGTGACGTGTTAGTCACAGGAAGATCGCTCTCCCTGGACCAGTGGAGAGGTCTCTGGTCACCGTGGGAACTGTGCGGCACCGGCTGGGGACGTTTCCTTTCAGCACAGACACGAGCAGAAAGGTCTGGCATTCTCTGCTTGGAGCTTTCACCGAGTTGAGCAATATCCGAGAAGGGACAGGTGTAGGTCCCGGAAATTACTCTACTTCAAATAACCTCACACATTACGGAGCAAAACTTGCACGTATCATCCCTGAATTAAGAGACACGATGTCATTCCTTAGAAATGTGTCATGTGACCAAGATCTATCGTCTTGTGCTGATATTTTAAAAAATGCTGCTGCATTTATTTTAGAAGATGGCTTACAGTACAAGAACACTTCACGGAGGACACTGCGCGTTCTGGCCATGCTAAGCTCCACATTTTCTTCTGAGGATAACATCAGCAGATTGCAAGGATGCGTGGCATGGGTAGAGGTCATAAACCGACTGTCCCTGAAGTATAATTCAAGTTTCGCCCCGGGCCATCTTCAGAGAATCTGGGGGAGTTTCAGAGACATGAAAGGCAAAATGAACTCTACGCTGAAAATTGTAAACCGGGTGCTAAATATAAAGAAACCTCCTTGTTCAGTGACTGAGTTAAATACAAGTTGTTTAAATATTTATTTGAAAGACGTAGCTGACTTTCTAAATAATATACCTACTAGAGTCTTGGAAAAAGAGAGGGTCCTCAAATTTGAGACTGTGTTAGCTCTTTTAAACGATTCCACAAACCAAGTGAGGTTGGTTATCAGCAACTTGGCAGTAGACTGGAAACACTTCGCTGAATTAATTGAGACCCCTGGAAATGGCAGGTGAAATTCCCAGCCAGTTCCAAAGTACTGGCTGCATTTAATGGCACTTGGGCAGGAAATTCAGTAACTCATGAAAGATACTTCCTCTAACTTCCGTGAACACTGAGAAGGCTTTGGTACACTTGCCACTAGTCCACAGGAAAAGGATGTGAGCAGTTTAGGGAATTCCATTTATTACTTAGCCACGTATCTTGCCCCCGACTTGTCTCTCGGTCTCCAAAATTTGTCAAGAGCAGTTCCACGTGAAGCAACTATGGCCGTGGGTCTTGGCATTCAGCTGGCGAGGGATGTGTTCAGCTCCTTAGTACCTGTCACTGAACCCAGTATTCCACAGGATGCAGGTCACATTCAGGTTCTCAAGATTGCTGCTTTCCTACGCAGTCTCAGGAAAGCCGACCTAGACCTAGTAATAGGTCAACTTGTACACATCAGGGAAAACCTTGTGACTTGCTTTCAGAATGCCAATAGGTTAGGTGCTGGCAATTCAGGGGTCAACTTGCTCGTGGACCTGATGGAGAAATTTTTAGGGAGCTCCCGTTCCTGGAACGTCAACCACCTGCTGCGTCTTCTGCGCCTGTTCCCTGAAGACAAGCTGAACACAGTGGTAGATGCATACTAGCCCTTCCCCCAATGGGGAGGCTCCCGCGGGGCCTTGTGACAAGAATATCACAGAGGCCCTCAAGGACGTCTGCGATTTCGTGCCCCCTCGTGGCATAAGCGTTTCACACATCACCGAGGAAGACTGCTACTGTGATAAAAGCGCTCTCAGACATGATCGAATCACTCTCGGATAAGCCAGAAGTGATGTCGGAGGCTTTACCTTGCCTTCCTGTGCTTTGGTGCTGGAATCGTACAACTTCCCGATTTCGGCAGAATCCCACGTTGGAAGCCTGCCGTGGCCGTGGGCTCGGGTCTTCTTCCTTTTACAGCCAAGTGGTCCTTATGCTTGACCACCTCCACCTGGCTTCCCTGGGTGGCGGGTCATGGCGTGCAAATGAGAGCTCACGGATGGAAGTATCTGGGAACGTGGTCTGTGCCATCCGTGAACGAATGGACTGGAATTCCATTCTTCTGGGGGTAGCTGAAGTCTTCTGTGTTAACATTTCTCTAGCAAAAGCCATGCGAGAGTTTTGGCATAAGGTGTTACCATTTTTCCCACCTACTGGAAACCAAAGTAACCATGGCCTCTCTGAGCTTTGTCCTGGTGCTCCCATAAAGCAAGTTGCTTTGCGAATCATGAAAAAAAAACTAAAAAATGTCAACTTTACGAAACTTGTTACCTCAGGTGAAAACTTTCTTAAACTAGCGAGTTCAGACAAGAACCTCAACATGAGTCATGACCCACAGACATCTGCTCAAGATACTGCCTTTAGCTGGGAAAGAGTAATAAAATCCACTTCTGGGGATGGGAGCCTAGACAATAGGACTTGTTGTCTACTGTCTCCACTCGTGGCCAATCTTCCAGGCAGGAGCTTAGCAGCACTATCAAGTTTCCTTAAAGGTGAAATAATATATGACTTTGAAGAGCTGTGGCTGGTGTTTGAACCAGTCATGAAGGACCTAGCCCGTGACGTTGGCGTTGGGCACCCGATTCCTGCAGTTAAAGAAGCAATCCAAAGGACACACTCGGAGCCTCAGAACGATCTTTGCAACTTGCCCGCCTTCTGGACTCCCTGGACTTGGCGGCACTGAAGGCACTGGGTGTTGTTGGAGAGTTTCGGTTACAACAAGAAGCTGGCCTCACAGGATGCAAGTGCCGCTTCTCCTGGAATGGCACAGACGTCGTTTGATCTCATGAGCGCGGAGAGTTCGACCGCTGGCGCAGCTCTGTGGACTAAAGGTGCCGCTGCTTTTGTGGGTTATTCAGGAAGCACTTCGGAGAAGGCGTGCTTGATGCTCCCGTTCTTGCTCACCTGCCCGGTGAAGACAGCCTGCCGACTCCTTGGTTCTGCTGCCTTTTTTTTTTTTATGTTCTGTCTTTCTATCTTTTCTTTGAGTAAGGAATATAAATTTCCAAAGTACGTCTCATGGGTTACAATGGCTTTCCCCCCCATACCGTCCCTCCCACCCACCACCCTCCCCTTTCCCACTCCCTCTCCCCTTCCATTCACATCAAGATTCATTTTCGATTATCTTAGTATACAGAAGATCAGCTTAGTATACCTTAAGTAAGGATTTCAACAGTTTGTTCCCACACAGAAACATAAAGTGAAAAATAATAGATGATTTTTTTTTAAATGATGATGAAATCAGATCAGACCTATTGTCATGTTTAATCCCAGTGAGAGTCAAGTTGCAAACTGTTGAAATCTTTACTTAATGTACACTAAACTGATCTTCTGTTTAAAAAAAAAAAAAAAAAGAAAAGAAACTATCAATTCCCAACTTGACTCTCACTGGGATTAAACATGACAATAGGTCTGCTGCCTTTTGAAAGCCGCCTCGTGAGCTCGGCCAACACCTTAGCTGGGGGTCTCCAGCAGCAGCCCCAGACCCAAGTGGCGTTCAACAAATGAACGTCGCCAACCTCCCCGTGGACCTGACGCCGCCAGAAAATGGAGGGAAAACTGCCCCTCCGAGCAGCACAGCGCGTCTCCGGGGGAAGAGCACAGGTGCTCCCCCACTGAGAGGCTCCCCCAGGGGTGTGATCGCGGGGAAGAGATGAGCCCGCTATTGCCTTGTGCAAGACGCTCAGCCGCAACAGGTCTTGGTCTTCCTCTTTTGCTGGAGTGACAGACATGTCATTAGCACCTCTGATCTTCAAAGTGAGTCTGTCTAAAGTAGAACAATTTTGATAACTACCACATGCCTAGAAAACATGAATCTAGCTTGCGTTAATCGTGTATTATTTTTCTTACATTTTTAGATTATGAAACCAGCTATGAAATGCCACCTTATAGGGAACTAAAATTAGTTGTTACAGGTGTACATGCATAGTATGATTATAATTTGAGTTGCAGAAATATCTGTCTAATCACAAACAAAGAGTTTGAATGTTTTCATTCCAAAACATTAGAATTGAGTGTCACGTGATCCTTATTCATGCATCTCTTAAAATCTCTTCGGGAGCTCGCCAGTGACAGGGCGGGAGGGAAGCTGTGACTGACTCCCTGGTGCAGATGAGTCAAAGTTTAGCCTTGGAACCAGACCCATGACGAGGGTGCAATACAAGGAACAGGCTGGAAAAGCTAGTCTAAGAGGAGCAGGACAGTCGCAGGAGGGGCAGTCACAGCAGGCAGGACCACCGTGGGCAGGGCTTGAGGCTTGTGGTCTATAGGTGGTGGTCAGGAGGGAGTGTGCTGGGAAGGGAGTGGTTCAGACCCAGCTGCTGGCAGAGTCCGGACTAACCACATCTGCAGAACCCCTTCACACAGCACCGAGATCCATGTTTAACTGAATGGCTGGGAGAAGATGTATTCATGCCACACCATCCCATCCATGCTCCACTCAGAAGGAAATCCTTGTTCCCTGCGCAGAGCAGAAACACAGAGCAAGGGGGCCGGGGCTGTAGTTCACGCTGCCTTGTGGCTCATCGTGGAGCCATCACAGTGTCTAAGGGATCTGCTAGGACTTTTTCTTTTCTCCCCAAAGAAACCTTTTATTTAATGAGTAGAAATTTCGTAAGTACAAATTTAGGAATATAGTGATGCTTCCCACCATACCTGCCCTCCTTTGCCCACCCCCCACGCCTCCTCCCTCTCCCATTCCCAGTCCCAATCTCCAGTAGGATTCATATTAAATTAGCTTCATACACGGAAGACCAACTCTATACTAAGTAAAAACTTCAACAATTTGGATACATGCACAAAAAAAACTGAGGACAAATTTTACAGTTAGTTCTCATAACTCTTTGAGGACAGGGGTCCTGCATGGGAAGTTGGTGCACAGTGACTCCTGTTGTTAATTAACAATTAACACTCTTATGTTTGACATCAGTTATCTCCCGAGGCTCTTGACATGAGCTGCCAAGGCTATGGAAGCCTTTTGAATTCAGTCTCTGTCAGTATTTAGACAGGTCCATAAGCAAAGTAGAAGTTTTCTCCTCCCTTAAGAGAAATGTACCTCCTTCTTTGATGGCCACTTCTTTCCACTGGGGGGTGTCTCACAGAGATCCTTCATGTAGGATATTTTTTTTTTTTTGCCACAATGTCTTGGCTTTCCATGCCTGAAATGCTCTCATGGGCTTTTCAGCCAGACCAGAATACCTTAAGGGCTGATTCTGAATCAGAGTGCTATTTAAAACATTTGTCATTCTATGAGTGCTCTGTGGACTGCTTCCCATGTTGGCACATTCTCTTTTTAATTCTATTATCATTACCAGATACTTGATCTTATTATATTATCCCTTTAACACTTAATCCTATCCATATGATCACTTTAACACTTAATATGGTCATGTTAACACTTAAGATGCCATTTATACTACCCAGCCTAATGAGATTTGGGGTCCCATGGCAAGTTTTTAAACTGCACCCTTAGAAGTAAGTCCATAGGAATGTATGCAGAACTATACAGCTTTACAAATTTCCTCCTCCCTCTCTTTCCCACTCTTTAATTTTTTTAAAGGTTTATTTCTTTTTTACTTGAAAGTCAGTTACACACAGAGAGAGAGAGAGAGAGAGAGAGGGCTTCCACCTGCTAGTTCACTCCCCAGATGGCCGCAACAGCCAGAGCTGTGCCGATTCGAAGCCAGGAGCCAGGAACTTTTTCTGGGTCTCCCACGTGGGTGCAGGGGCTCAAAGACTTGGGCCATCTTCTACTGCTTTTCCGGGCCACAGCAGAGAGCTGGATTGGAAGAGGAGCAGCCAGGACTTGAACCGGCACCCATTTGGGATGCTGGCGGTTCAGGCCAGGGCTTTAACTCACTGCGCCACGGTGCCGGCCTCTCTTCCCACTTTTTTTTTAAACTATCTTCTAGACTAGAGCAGCAAGCTTCCTCCCTACTCCACCATCTTAATCTCCTTCCTAGGACTTTTAAAATTCAGAAAAATATGAAGATACCAATTTTTATGAGATTTATCTCTTGTGTCAGGAACTGTTTAGTAGTCATTTCATTTTTCTATTTTTGATTTTTAAAAATATTCATTTGAAAGGGAGGGAAGAGTATCAATCTTCCATCTGCTGGTTTACTCCCCAAATGGTCACACCAGCCAGGGCTAGGCCAGGTTGAAGTCAGGAGCTTGGGACTCCATTTGGGTCTTCCATGTGGGTTGCAGGGGCTCAGGTACTTGGGCCACCTTCTTCAGCCTTCCCAGGTGTATTCGCAGGGAACTGGATTGGAAGTAGAGCAGCCAGGACTCAAGTCAGCACCCATATTCTGGTGTCACAGGCACTGCTTAACGCACGGTGCCTCAATGCAGACCAACACTTGCTTTTCTAAGAGCAAAAGTATGACTTTTTAAGTTGTTAGATGCAAAGAATTGTCCATGAAATTCCTCCACTCTTCTCATAACGTGGGAACAAAATCTTACATTTCATTTGGAATTATTTTTTGTCCTATTCCATGCAGTATTGTCCTCCCCAGATGCTGTTATAAAACAAAATCGCATGTTGTTTATACATATGTGTGTATTTACAGTGTGTTTCCAGAGATTCTGCAGACCCAGACGCTGGGTTGACTTCCTGCTTTCGTGAAAGACAGGGATTGTTCAGCATTTCCTCAAGTTTAAAGGAGGCTCTACATTATCCAATCCAAAGCTCACTCGAGTTTGAGAATTTTATTTTGATTGTAATGGAGAAGTGGAGTTCATGAGAGATTCATTGCATGCCCTTCTAAAGACAACCCCCGGGGAAAATGAGACTGAGAAAAACCCGGACTTTGTCCCAGCAGTGAGTTCACTGCTCTTCCTCGCGATTGCTTCGGGGGACCCCTTCCCACTCAATCGCGACCTTAGGTTGGCACTTCACCTTGCGAGACAAAGTTCCAGCGACATAGCAGTGCTTGTGGGCGCCCTTTGAAACTCTCCCCATCAGGACTTCTTGTATCCAGGACTCCAAGAGAGGATTCTTGCTAATCTAACAGACTGGCTCTCCTTTATGAAGAGTTCATTTCCCCTAAGAAATAGGGCGGCATCGGACAACATGAGGCGGTTACTTGGTGTTGTATCACGAGCCAGCGAAGACAGCAGTGTCTGGAAACCCCTCCTGGAACCCCCTCTGGGCTCTGTCTGCGCTGCTGAATGGCAGGGCTGAGCTGAGCGGCCTGGCCATGTCCGTGGACTGCACGGTGAGGCTTCTTGAGCTGGCCACGGACGTTTCAGGAAAGGTAGCTGTGATTTTCGACATTTCCTCTCCAGTACCAGGGACCTGAGGGATTCTTCGACGCTCTTTATTCCATCTCGCAACAAAAGCGTTCAACATCTTGTGAAGGAAAAAGCTACTTTGAAAAGGCGTTTCCCATTTACAGAGACTGAGGGTTTGCTGCTGCCTTTCTTGACGTGGCCCGTGGGATGGCTGGGGGGACCCGGTACTTGGCGACTCTGCTGTTCCCGGCCTGACACCCAGCATACGCACGTGGGCCAATCCAAGGGCTTTCCAGTGTGTTAGAGGAAGTTGCTGAGTTTATTTCTGTGAATGTCAGTGTTGCAGATGTGGAGCATCGCGTGGTGGCATTCAGCAGTGGAACTCCAATATTTTCTAGGAGTCTGTGAGCCTACGGGAGGAAAGCCTGGATTTAGTTCCTGTAAATAACCTCACCTGCCAGATGGGCTTCTACACCTTTCTCCAACCGCCATTCAGTTGCCCTCAAGACGCACAACGGAGGAGAATTCATGAAGCCATCCTTCAGACGAAATAGTATCACAAAACAGCGCAGAAACTTACTTGAAAATGGCAACCCCCACCGGGAAGCCCTCTGGAAGAGCTCACAGCAGGATGGCTGCAATGTTAATCTTGTCCGCGTTTGCTAAGCACGCGGATAGTCTCCTGAAAACCACAGAGGCAGGCCTACAGGCCCATCGCAGGATTAAAAGCGACTACGGAGGTGATTTGAGCAAAGGCCTGCTTCTCAGCACATCTCTGGTCCAGAGTGTAACTCGCCAACTTGGAAAAGCCATCCTGAGTGTGTCCGTCAGAGCTATGCCCTCCAGGACACGGCGTCTCCCAGACGCTCATGGTGGGAAGGTTCCGTAGGGACTTGTTCCAGGAAGGTTTTATGGTTCTTACAGCCCTAACCACTGAAGAGAATCTGGGAAAGGGAACCGATTTTCCTCACGGCCTCCAGCCGTTGTCGTGTTTTGAAAAGTCCCTGAGGGAGACTGACTGTGTGGATGGAACGCTGGCAAAAACTCTCCCTGACGGTCACAGGTCATCAGACGCCGCGTTCCTTTTTTCCCTACTGCAGCAACTGTAGACGGACTTGAGCAGACCGTTAGCACCGCAGTGCTTCTCGACTTCGTTAGTGCTTCTGAAGTTGACCTCGGCTCCGAGTGAGTCCACTGCAGTCTTTTCACTATTGCGCCCATTATTGGGCACTCAGATGTGATCTGAATCCATTCAAACATTTTTCAGAAGTTTATTACCTTACTTGGAAAAGTGAAAACCTGATCACGTGTCCCTAGAGTAGGCACACGAACACTTTCCTCTCCATGTGTTCTGGCAGTCCAGGGTTCTACCGTCTGACACAGGGGAAAGAGTATGAAGTCACGGGGCCAGCACTGTGGCATAGCGGGTGAAGCCGCCGCCTGCAGTGCAGGCACTCTATATGGGCTCCAGTTTGAATCCCGGCTGCTCCACTTCCGATCCAGCTCTCTGCTCTGGCCTGGGAAAGCAGTAGAAGATGGCCCAAGTTCTAGGGCCCCTGCATTCACATGGGAGATCCAGAAGAGGCTCTTGGCTTCGGATCAGCACAGGTTGGGCCGCTGTGTCCAATTGGAGAGTGAACCAGTGGATGGAAGACCTCTCTCTGTGTAACTCTGGCTTTCAAATCTTTTTTTTTTAAAAGTATGAAGTCGCTCACTTCACACAGAAAATTATGCTTCCAAGTGTAGAGTCCAGGGTGCTCTTGGTTTGTCTTCTTGAGGTTCCCTCGCCTCTCCAGGGTTGGCCCACCTACAGGGCTGCCGTCCCACAATGTTAAGTGAGTTAACCTCCAGTCACAGTAGTCGTCATGCTCTGGAAGTGTACCTCAGTGTGCAGAGTCCCAGAGGCGCTGCCCCTGCCCTGAGTAGCCTTGTTGTGTGCACTGAGTTTGTTTAGAGGCCTGTGGGCCCCCACCCCATCTCTGTCTTTCTCCAGTTCCCATGGGAAATGGAGGTGCCATCCAAACCCTTGCTCATTCAAGCCTAGACAAGCTAACCCATTTTCTGTTGGTTTCTTTGCTACAGAGCTGTCCCTTGGGTCCAATGAATTTTTTTAAAGTTGGCTGGGAGGGTGTCCTTAATTAGTGAAACAGGTATCCCCTGGCACAGAGGATGATCAGCACCCTGAAATTTGGAGGCTGGCCTTCGGGGCCCCTGCCTCCGAGCTCACATCACTGTGTTGTTGACTTCTGTGTGAGGCCCGGAATTTGCTTTAGAACTGGAGGCGGTTGTCCTGGAAGCCCTGTTCTCCCCCAGTCTCCATTTTCATCCCGATGTTTCAACTTTTCCAGGGGGACTTTCCACCCTAGCTCTACCTACCATCAGGTGTGACAGCTGTTCATGATTTACCTCTGCATTTCCGGAGTGTGGAAGAAGACAAAGCGGATATCGGGGTTTATTGGCTACAGAATCGGTGCTTTGATCTCAGGAGCTGTAGTGCGGAGGTGCAGAGTGAGGTGTCCGCGGTACTTCGTGCCCCGTAGGGCGACTGTGGCTGAGCAGGCAGGTGGCTCAAGTGTGTGCTGTGACTTTGCCTTCTGTGCAGCACAGATGCACACGGGATGCTGATTTCTACCCTTTCACGCCCTTGTCTTTTTCCATAAGCGCTGGTGAAGTGTGTCAAGTTTTCTGGCAGCCCGTGGAGCCCTCGGAAGCCCTCGAGATGCTGCAGAAAGTGAGCCTGGTGGCTCTGCGGGCGCTGCTCATCCTGGCAGGTGAGGCGCTTCGGGGAGCGCTCGGTGGCTGCGCGGGGCTGGGTTTGAGGGCGTGGCTGTCACAGCAGATGCTGCTGGGTGTCTTAGGACCCAGCTCAACTTCTCGGCCTGGTGACCCTGCCCTGCGGTTCTCACCCCCTGCCGCCTCCTTGCTACCACTGGGACTGCACGGCAGCCTTACTAGACGGCCCCTTCTTCCCGTGCTGCCTTCCTGGCCCTGTGCCTCGCACCTGCACCCCAGCAGTTTCCCGGGTCCAAGACCTCTCCTTCAGAACGACGTCCTCGTCTCCCGTACCGGCGAGGAGCTTGAGGCAGCTCCTACTGTTCTTTTCTAGCTCCCCTTGTTGGAGCCTGGTTTTCAGAATTCAGCTCCCATGTCATGGTCTTCTGTGTGTTTCCGTACCCGGCACAGAGATGGATTCTCCCAGTGGGTGCCGAGGGGTCTGTGTGGCCACCTTGGTACCCTGCAGCCATGGCGCTCGTCCCTTGCAGTTTCATTCTGGTTCCTTTCCCGCTGTGGTCCGCACCTTCTCTGAGCACACGATCAGGTCACTTAGCGCAGCATCCAGCAGCAGCGAGTGAGGGTGTTAGAAGCGAATTAACCCCACTGTGGAAATCACACTGTTAGCAGAGAAGCAACGGGTCCTTGTCTTCACGCAAGAAAGAATTCAGGTGTGAGACAGAGTAAGTGGAGAGCAAATAGCAAGGTTTATTAGGGTAGGGACATCAGTGAGAACGGATGGGCACCTCTCCAGACAGGACCTGAGAGAGAGTGCACAGTGCACATGTAGGCTGGGGCTTCTAAGGGGGTGGGTCTTGCCTTCCCTCCCCCTCTACTTCTCCTTCCAAACAGAGGACTTGTTGGATATAAATACGAAAAATTCCTTTGAGTTTTTTCCCCATTGAAGTTATCAGACAGGGGAAGCCTGGCTGGCATTGCCCTGCCTTGGAGGAAGGATGGTTGTCAGGTAGATGGAGCAGGACCCCCTGGAAGGTCATCAGGATCTGAGCAGGACGTTCGAAGTGCAGATACTGGGCTGCACCAGGAAGGTTATCGGATGACTCTGAGCTGCGGATGCTGGCCTGGCTGTCAGTGCCTTAGGCCTTTGTCACACACAGAAGCTCATTCCCGACTTCCTACCTAACACCTGCCAGGTCCATTCGAGCACCCTTCAGTGCAGTCTCCTTGTAATGCTACCGACAAAGTAGAGCACCACGGCTGGCCTTGTGGGGTGACTGGATTATTTAGGGCTCTCGGATACATAAGCCTGCAGTCTGTAGGGTAGCTGGGCTGTTTAGGCCCTCCTCCGATATATTGGAGGACTCTGGGTCTCGGCATCCCACACCTGTGCTTGCGTTGCTGGCTTCCTGCAGCCCAGTGCCCAGGCCGTGGCTGCACGTGGCCCTTCCGGGCTGTTGGGTACCACGTTGGCTGATGGCAGCAGGTGCTGGAGAGATGGCTCTGAGCACAGATGGGAAGGGCCGGGGAGGAGGATGGGAGGAGTCCATTCAGACCTAGGAAGACAGGAGAGTGCGAGGTGGCCGACTGGCTTTGGCCTGGTTCTCGGGTGGCCCTGTGCTCTCCCCCACAGTTCATCTGGCACCAAGTACTCACCCTCCTGCCTTCGCATTCTACTATTGGTAGAGGATACTGCTATGGGTTTCTGTTGGGGTGTTAGGTGACCATCCTTGGACTCTTGGCCCAGTGACGCGGGGCCAGCTTCCAACTTCTTTTGAGCCTCAGACTCAGTGGGGTGCCCCCTGTTCCCAAGTGCAGTTGAGAGGCCGGCTAAGGCCATGAACTCGGGTTCCCTGGTTCCAGTGCCCCCTGCTGGCACTGGGAAGGTGCCTGTTGGCTAACAGAACAGGTTTACAAGTGAAAATCAACAGTTGAAGACAGTCCAGTCCTGAGTTCTGCTCTGTTCACTCACCTCTTTTTGTAATACAAAGGTTTCTTTAAGGTTTACTCATTTGAAAGACAAAGTTACAGAGAGAAGGAAGAAGAGGAGGGAGGGAGAGGGGGAGGGAGAACTTCCATCTGCTGGTTCACTCCCCAAATGGCTGCAGTGCCAGTAGCTGCGTGGATGCAGGGCCAAGCACTTGGGCCATCTTCCACTGCTCTCCCAGGCACATGATCAGGGAGCTGGATTGGAAGTGAAGCAGCTGGAAGTTGAACCAGGTGCCCATATGGGATGCTGGCACTGCAGGCGGCAGCTTTACGCACTACACCACAACACTGGCCCCTACAAACACTTCTTTGAGCCTAAGAATTGATTAATCTTTTGGGCTAAGAAACATGAAATAAGAGTGGAGGGAGAAAGCAACAGAAGGAACCCTAACTGTCGTGCAGCGGTTTTTGATTTTTTAAGGAAAACCTGTTTTTATGTTGAACGTGTATGAACGTTGGTGATATTGTTAACCACACAGCTCTGTGTATCCAAGCATGTTAGGGCGATCAATAAATGATATCAGGAAACAGAAGCCACCTGGAGTGAAATTCAAAGCCGCTTCTCTCTGGCCGCTTCTCTCTGGCATACTGAGCTCAGCCGGGTCTGAAGACACATTCTGGCATTTCACGGTCAGCCAGTGCAACAGCTGTTGAATGAAGTGCTCGTTAGACCTGCATTTGGGTTTATTTTGCATTATGTACTGAAACTATTAAGTTAATGCGGCACACTTGGAATCGGGAAAATTAATTCTTTTTACATTTGACGTGAGGTAAAGGCCAGCACGTCTCGTGGCTAAACTGTGTCTCACTTTCCTTATCCATCCGTCCCCTGCCCTAGAGTGGCAGGGCTGTGCCTTTAGAACTCAAATCACAGTTTGCCTCATTGTACGGATGTTCATCCTGATGATTTAAGAAATCTCTAGGAATTTGTGTCCCTAAGAGTCCCTAAGGAAATGACTGTGGGTTGGGTATGCCTGGGTTTCAGTTCCAGCTGATTCTGAGTCTGGCTTCCTGCTAATGTGAATCCTGGGGGGCAGCGCGGTGGCTCACTTGGTTAATCCTCCACCTGTGGAGCCAGCATCCCATATGGGCACCTGGGTTCTAGTCCCGGCTGCTCCTCTTCCAGTCCAGCTCTCTGCTGTGGCCCGGAAGGGCAGTGGAGGATGGCCCAAGTGCTTGGGCCCCTGCACCCGCATGGGAGACCAGGAAGAAACACCTGACTTCGGATTGGCGCAGCTCCGGCCGTCACAGCCATTTGGGGTGTGAACCAACAGAAGGAAGACCTTTCTCTCTCTCTCACTGTCCATAACTCATCAAATAAAATATTAAAAAAAAAAAAAAACATGCATCCTGGGAGGCAGCAGGTGGTGCCTCAGTGCTTTGGTCCCTGCACCGACATGGGAGAGCCAGGCTGGGTTCCGACCTCCTGGCTTTGGCCTGACCTGGCCCAGCCCTGCAGTTTGTGGGCACTTGGAAGTGAGTCAGAAGATGGGACATCTGTTTCTCTCTCTGCCTTTCAAATAAATAAATCGGGATGTAGAAAAAGAAATGATCTTGTGAGGTGGGGAGAGGACTGTTTAGTTACTTCTCTGTGTTCCTCTGGCAGAAAACCCTTCCCTGACACGGGACGCTCTGTGCGCTGCTCTGAGCTGCAAGCACGGCGGGACAAGGCGCCTCCTTTTGTCTGCTGTACAAGGGTTCGCCCTGGGGCAGGACCACTATCAGGTTTGTCATCTTCTATTTCAGTTTCACGCTCTGGGCCTCTGGCCCTCACAAGCAGCTCAGTTGCTGCCGGCTCACAGCCTGCTTGTCACGACCAGAGCACTGCGGAGTGCACACTGGGGACGAGCTAGGCCTGCAGCACCTGCGCGCTGCTCCCGCTCCTGGTCCCTCCCTGAGTCGGGAGAGCTGCTTGCTAAACCCCCGCATTGCTGGAAACCAAGTTCTGTAAACATGTGATTTAAGAACATTATGTTAAAGCTAAGAGGAGTAAACATTCGAGAGTCTGATTTTCCGTTTTGCATGTTTCCTGCGATCTGTCCTCCTGGGACTGTTTGCACCTGTTGTATCTGGGATGGAGATGATGTACAGCTGTGTGCTAATGTGCAGTTCTTTCCGGTTTGCCATTCAGTGACGTCATCGTGGCAGCCTGAGTGAGGCCACGTGGCAGGTGCCACAATCAGATCACTTAGTTTTCACTCTGGAGAGCGTGTTTTTTAAACACTCTCTGCCCCATTGCTGGCTCCAACACCCGGATCCTCTGGCAAGCACCAGGAGGTGACAGCTCCATGGGGACCAGCTTAGTAGTCTCCCTCTTTCAATGCGAAGTGAAGTTTGAGAACTGAATCAAAGACGTGTTCATGGTTCAAACTGGTATGTGATTGTCAACAATTCTGGCTGTTCAGTTTTGATAAAGGGAGGACGCTCCTGTCCTTGGTGACCAAAGCAGAATCTTGCTGATGTCGGGATGGCGTGCTTTGGGGATGGGCTGTGGCTCATGGACTTGAGGTGCATGGAAATCTTAAACTACTCAACTCTTCCTGCGTCTGGCAGAGGTAGACAAGGAACAGGGCTAGTTTTAGTTTTTCAGCTCCTAAACATTCTGACGCATGCTGCTCTTGGTACCAACACAGACTTCCCACTGCCAGTGAGAGCCCGCTGACTGAATCCACGCTGCGGAGGTTCCGGGCTGCCAACCCTTGCCCGCTTCCCCTCTCTGCATGAAAGATGAGAAGAAGCAATAAGGAGCCGAATGGGGATCAGCAATTAGACTTCAAAAAAGCGGCAGCCAGTGCCCGGGGAGTCCCAACACGTGTAGGGGAGACTGCAGCTACAACTGCAGGTTGAGCTGGGGGCTTCCTACCCTGCCACATCTGCAACCTGTGCCCACTTAGCTGACCAGTCCCTGGACGGGTGAGGCCTGTTCCAGCCGGAGGAGGAGAGCCTGCGAGGGCAGCCTTTCCCGTGGTGGACCCGTCCTACCCTAAACGTAGAGCCTAAGGGACTGGTGAGACCCCGGGGAGGAAGCTGGGCCTCAGCACTCAGGAGGGGGAAGGAGTGCTCTCCTCACAGTCCTGCACGTGCAAAATGGTGATTCGTGGAAGTTACGGATAACATCCGTAGCAGGAATCTTCTAAAAGCACTGCATTTAATTTAATTTGCATGTAATTACAAGCTAAGAACTAGAGTGTCCTTTCCAAGACGGATTCTCTCTGGCAGAGCCCTGGGAGAAGGGCTGTGCAGCTGACAGTCCCGGGAGTGAGCCAGCCTCTGTGGGACGCGGATGCGTTCCCACTGCTCTGACCTGGTCGTCTCTGTGTAGAGGGACCCTGGGAGGAAGGGGAGTGTGGGCCTGTGAGTGTTGAGGGGACAGAAGTGGGGACTGTGTGCAGAGTCCCGTGTGGTACGCAGCAGAGGGTGTGCAGCCAAAGCTGCTCTTGGCCAGGATTGGCAGTGGACAGGGGTCGCGGCCTTGGGGCGCTGCTCCGCCTACAGATGCTGCCTGCCTGTGCTCCCTGCCGCCTTCCTGCTCACCTGGCATTGCATCCAGACGACGAGTGGGGCCCTGCCCCTGTCTTTGGGGGCAGCGAGGGAGGAGGAGCTGGAGGCACGCAGGTGTCCAGGGTGGAGCAGGCGTAAGGGAAGGAAGTAGAAGGAAGGAGGTCAGTGTAGCCTTGAGGCCACCACAGTGTGGAAACGACACTGGCCTGGGCCGCCCACCTCCTCCAGACCCTGCGGACCACAGATGGCACTGTGGTGAGGACCTCCGCCTGGTGACTGCTGCGCCCCGTGCTTCTCACTCCCAGCACCTTGGCCGATGCCTCTGTGCCTTCCTGCTGCCCCCATGGGCGGGATGGTCCCAGGCTCACAGCAGGTCTCGTCTCTTCAATGCCTACACACTGGGCAGTCTTACTAGAGTCACCCACAACCTAGAGTTCCAGTACCTTCCGACCGCGTCCAGACTTCCATCTGCAGCAAGGCACCCCTGAACTTGGGTAGTGCATTCAGCTGTCTCCTTGACAGCCATCGCCACTGCCATGTCCCTGGGATGGGGCTCTGGGCCCCCACCCACACCGCCCTCCCTGGGGTTCTTTCTCTTGGGTGCTCTGGGCAGTGCTCTTGGCACCCTTGATGACCCGTTCTTGTTTATTCTGAGAGCAAACTCTGTTCTACCTTCCAAAAGTTTCTAGAAATGGCCATGGCCCCCTTACAGCCACCCCTGTGGACTGAGCCTTCCCTGCCCCCTCGGGGGGACGGTGGTGACCCTGTCCCAGCGCTCTGCTGCTCCTCCACACAGCTCTGTCCTCAACGTGCAGCTGGAGCAGGCATCAGCTGTGGTTCCTGTGGAGGGCCTCCGGGTGTGTTCTGGTCTCCCCCGGAAGTCTCGCAGGTCCCAGGGGGACAGGTGCAAGGCCCTGCTGTCCTGTGGCCATCTGCTTTCTTGAGTGTCTCCCATCCTGTCCTTTGCCCCTTCTGTCATGCCAGCCCTGGGGAGGCCACCTGCTGCTCTGTGGCTGCAGCACGCTGCCCTGACAACGCTGGAGAGGGCTGTGAGCCTTCGTGTGAACCCCACACTGCCTGCCTCTGCTATCCTCATTTTTCTTGACATTGCCTGTGACCGGCTGGCTGTCCTGGCCCCATCCACAGTGAGATTTCAGAGGCTTGGAGATGGAGGTGGGTGACTTTGGGCGTCCCTGTCACATTGTTGTCAACACACTTCAGCTCCTGGGAAGTCTCTGCCCTCCGCCCCACCCCTCAGCTGTGCCTGGGGCCCGGGTGGCATTCAGCACTTGTTAGCTCCCTCTGGTCACCGACTAAACAACTGATTTTTTTCTTTGCAAGAGAAACTGACGATGGTTTTGAGAAATTTAGAGCTCTGTGTAGGCAGAAGTGTTATCTAAGTGTCGGCCCACCTGTGATACCTCCCCATGATCTGCACAACTTGGGACCGCACGTCCAGCGTCAGGAAAGCTCGGGCTGTACAGTGAATGAGAGGAAGCAGGTGCACGTGGGTGAATGAAATGCCTTCTACGTGGCAGCAGGGCTGTGTCCAGGAACACATGGGAAATCCTGTCACAGAAAATGCGTGTTAACAAAAAGCCGCGACAGGGCCCGCGCTGTGGCTCACCTGGTTAATTCTCCACCTGCGGCGCCGGAATCCCATATGGGCCCCGGGTTCTAGTCCTGGCTGCTCCTCTTCCAGTCCAGCTCTCTGCTGTGGCCCGGGAGGGCAGTGGAGGATGGCCCAAGTGCTTGAGCCCTGCACCCCATGGGAGACTAGGAGAGAGCACCTGGTTCCTGGCTTCGGATCGGCGCAACACGCCGGCCGTGGCGGCCATCTGGGGTGTGAACCAACAGAAGGAAGACCTTTTTCTGTGTCTCTTCCTCTCACTGTCTGTAACTCTACCTGTCAAATAAATAAAATAAAAAGAAAAAGCTGCATGTGGCTTTTAAAAATATTTTGCACCAAAATAAATGTATCTTTTAATTCCATTTTTGGAGTATCCTGGTTCAGGTATGCTGCTTTTCAGATGTTTTACATTTTTAAATCACCTATATTTTCACTTCATTTTATATATGATAAAGTGTTCTAATGCACAACTTTCAAGTATTATTCTAAAGACTTTTTTTTTTTTCAAAACTGTGGGATCTTTGGCCAAACTGGTCAGTGCTTCTAAGAGGATGCTGATAAGGTGTCCAGATGCCGTTGGAGGGGCCTGCGAATCGGGGCTGAGACCCGGGTCTCCTCATTGCTCAGGGTCCTGGGGGCCCCTCTGCTGGCAGGCAGGAACCCCCAGGCTGCACAGACCCAGGTTTCACCCACATTGCTCATAGCCATGTGTGTCTTTTTTTAGGGTCTGGTTTTGTGGCTGTGATTTTTTGAAAATCCTCAATTTTCTTATTTTCATTTTCATCTTTTTTGTTTAAATTTTAGATGTAAAAAATGATGCTTTGATAAAAAATACAGAGTGAAATGGTTACTACAGTCCAGCAAAGTAGCCATGTCCGTCACCTCGCAGGGTTGCCTGTGTGTGCGCACGTGTGTGGTAAGATCCACTCTCGGCAGGTTTCCATCAGGGACTGTGGCCCTCCTCAGTGTGTTAGACGCAGCCCGGTCTCCTCACCCTGCACAGCTGCGCCTTATGCCTGGGGCCTGATCTCCCCGCTTGCCACCCCCACCCCCACCCCTGGTAGTCACTCTCCAGTCTCTGCTTCAATGACATCGACTTCAGGTGAGACCACCCTGCAGCGCTTGTTTCTTAGGTCTCCTGGGTGCATCCGTGTTGTCACAGTGGCACCATTTCCTACTTCTTTATGGCTGACTAATATTCCAAGGCACACAGCCACATTTCTTCATCCACTCGTCTATCCGTGATCACTTGTTTCCATGTTACCTGTGAATAGTGTTGGAATCAGCATGGCAGAGCAGGCATCTCTCGGAGACCGGATTTTGTTGCCTCTGGATAGAACCCAGCAGTGAGATTCTGGATTGTTCAGCAGCTCTAGTTTTAATTTTTTGTGGAGCCGCCACACTGTCATCCACGATGCTGGCCCGTGCATAGCGGTTCCTTTTTCTCCGTGTCCCCGGCACCACTTGTTATGTCTGTGTTTTGTAATGTCCATCCTACCAGGTGTGGGATGACAGCTCCTGGTGGTTTTGATTTGTAGTTCCCTGATGATTAGTGATGCCGCGTGCCTTTTCATGGACCGGTTGGTCACTTTTGGGTCATCTTTGGAGAAATGTCTTCTCGGGTCCTTGCCTTTTTCTTTTTTGGCTGTTGAGATACACAACTTCCTAGGGGCTGAGCTCCAGGGAGGCAGGTGCCGGGTCCCTTAGCAGGGCACGGCTCACCCCCTGCCGCAAACCCAAGGACGTGACTTTTCACCAGGCTGGTTAATGGCAGAACCAGCAGTAGACTCTGGACTCTGATTTCTCAGCCAGGAGTTCGCTCAGTTACTCTGAAATGTATGTGATGGTTTGCTGTGTCCTGAGAACACAGAAAATGCAAAAGTGGCAGTGCAGGTAATACTGGTGAGGGCACATGCTTATCTGGAACCCGGGCTTCAGCTCACATGAGCAAGTCTCTGTTCTAACCTATCATTGCATCATGGTTGTGTTTTGCAGGAAATTGAAGAGATATGGTCCTCACCCACTCAACTGACTTGTGAAAGGCTCATCAGAAATCTTTCTAGAGCCTTGGGAAGCCTGAAGAGCAACCTGGAAAATGCCACCGCCCAGGACTGCATGTGCCAGCCCGAGCTGGGGCCTGCTCAGCAGCGCGCCCACAGGTATGCACTGTAGGGCTCCTGCCTTTGCCGGGAGCATTTTTGAATTATGGCTCTCAGACACTCATCTGTGCCACATGCTGTTAGTATACGTGTGCGTATGTGTGCAGATTAGGTATATGACTTCCTAAGTAACATCCGAATTTTCTACGACTAGGCTTTTCAATGCTAAATGTGAGAACGACATTCACTATAGGCCAACATTGTTGGTGACCAAGATATAGATCAAAAGGTGACCCAAGATTGCAGATGGCATTAAATGTGGATCAACGAACAGTCACGTTTTTTCCAATTAGATATTTTTTGAATCTTAGTGCTCCAGACACATGGGTGCTGGAGGGGGAGTCCAGGGGCTTTGTTTTCCGCAGATGGCTCGTTCGCAGACAGAGGGGTGTCGTCTGACTCTTGCTATGCTGATTTCCGGGCTGTTCCCGTGAGCTACGCTTTCTGTCCTTTCATATTTGTGAGAGGTTGTTTATGATACATCCCTACTGCTCTGGGTCATTGTGCGTGGCAGGGACTCCGAGGAGGCGGTTTTGGAGCGCTGCTATGACGGGGGGTTCACACACCGACAGTATGGGCAAGGGCTGTGTGGACCTGTGGTCTCGCGTCCAGCTCGCCTCCTGGAACGAAGGCAGCACTGCTGACTCCCATCCTGCTTCTTGTGTTTTTATCTTGGCTATTTAATTTTTAATTTTCTGCTGTCTTAGGTTTGCCAAAAGCCTTGCAGAGACCTGGTTGTCAGGGTTTCCCATCGCGACTTTTCTCAGCAATTTCACAGTAACTGAGGGTAAGTATTTGGTCCTCCTAGTTTGCATGATTAAACACTGTCTAGTTTTTTCACACAAATATATTACTAAAGTGTACAGGGGGAACAGCATGCTGTATGTGATGATTCACAACTCAGAACTCGTCTGGTCTGAGTGTTTGGGTTTTAAGGGAAGTCCTAAAATCCAGGCACAGAAGTCCAGCAGGGAAGGAAGAAAAGCTTCTGTGGTCTGGTGTGGGGAGCAATCCGGACTGGACTGAGTTACTGGAATTAAGACTTATTCTATGCATCTGCTCTCCCACAATATGGCGCTGGGAGAGAAGTAAACAGCTTCTGCACAGCTGCCTCCAGTTCAACCAATAAACTGTAGGACTTGCTCCTGATTGGAGAGCAGCGTACTCGGCGTGTGGGCAGCCGAGTTGGGATTGGCAGAGGAGGACTATAAAGGAGGAGAGAGACGGCATGCACCAGGAACATCTATGGGGAACATCTGAAGGAACACCTGTGCAGCCCCCCAGAGAGCCGGCCGGCGGTGTGCCGCTCCCCTGCGGAAGTGGGGAATGTGGCCAGGGGGAACTGCCCTTCCACGGAGGTGGAAGGGATAGTAGCCAACCCGGGAAGAACCAGCAGCAAACCCGGGGAGGGCCGAGCAGACGAAAGAACAGCGCAGGGTCCTGTGTTGCTCCTCCACGAAGAGGGGGAGCGACAGTCTGGGTTTGGCCTCTTCCCTGGGCAAGATGGCTGACGTGTGTGGGTCTCTGACTCCTGGACATGGGGTTGACACGTGTGAGTCCCTGTGTCCTGGACATGGTGGTTGACATGCGTGGGTCCCTGACTCGGGTACCCAGATAAACGCCCTGGTCAATACCCAGATAGGTGCCCGGACAAATGCCTCGACCAACACCCAGATGAGTGTCCAGATCACTCAGAAAACGCCCAGGTCGATACTCGGATAGGTACCCAGGTAAACGCCCATCAATACTCAGATGCCTAGATTATCATCTTGACCAGTACCCAGGTAAACACCCAGGTCGATACCCGGATAGGTACCCGGATAAATGTCCATCAATACTCAGATGCCTAGATTATCATCTTGACTGATACCCAGATATACACCCAGGTCGATACACGGATAGGTACCCGGATAGGTACCCGGATAAACGCCCATCAATACTCAGATGCCTAGATTATCATCTTGACCAGTACCCAGGTAAACACCCAGGTCGATACCCGGATAGGTACCCAGATAAACGCCCATCAACACTCAGATGCCTAGATTATCATCTTGACTGACACCCAGGTAAACACCCAGGTCGATACGCGGATAGGTACCCAGGTAAATGCCCATCAATACTCAGATGCCTAGATTATCATCTTGACCAGTACCCAGGTAAACACCCAGGTCGATACCTGGATAGGTACCCGGATAAATGCCCATCAATACTCAGATGCCTAGATTATCATCTTGACTGATACCCAGGTATACACCCAGGTCTATACCTGGATAGGTACCCAGATAAACGCCCATCAATACTCAGATGCCTAGATTATCATCTTGACCAGTACCCAGATGAACATGCAGCTCAGTACCCAGAAGACACCCAGATCAATACCCGATCAATACCAGCCCAGCACCCCGATAACTATTGGAGTGGCCGAGTGCGTGTGCCAGGCTCTTGGGAAGGGAGACCCCTGCCCCAGGTCCCTCATCCCATGACAACTTCCCAGACCCACACCCTGGAAGGGTCTCCGGGGCTGTGCGTCTGTGTTTCGGGTCACTCGTAGGATTTGCTGGCAGAGCCCAGCAACGGCTGCCTGTGCTGTTTTGGAAAGGAGTCGCTGTTGGTGTGTGCGCCCAAGTGCTTCAGTGTCGTCTCCGTTTGTTCTTCATTCCTCCTGCCCCCACCCCACTCCCCACCCACTCTGCTCTAGCGACAGCAGAAGGGGACACAGTCAGGTCTTCGGAAGGTAAATGGTAGAATCTGAAGCGCCACAGAGGGCAGCACACTTGCCCCTGGGGCGGTCGTGCTGAGCTGTTTAACAACGCTCACAGCAGGACCAGATTCTGAGGCATGGGGAGCCCAGAGCTAGGCGCTGGGTGACCAGGGAGGCCAGGGCTCTGCGGGCAGGCATGGAGAGGCCTGGACTGGGCGGCGCTGGGCAATGCCCGTGGAAAGCCCTGGCACCTCCCGTGAACTGTTTGAACAACACCCCTTTGCGAGGGACGTGTCCTTCAGGGTCTCCTTATGGGGTCGAACACAGGGGCCTCTCTGAGGAAGCCGAGGGTGAGTGCCTGAACCCCACCTCCAGGCGTTCCCGCGGGACCTCCTGCTCGCTGCAGAGCGCGGGTCTGGAAATGGAGGCGTAAAGGAAAACCTGGCCGAGGTGTGTGCCCTGCGAGCCCCGGGTGACAGCCGGGACTTCCTGCTCAGCCGGTGTGACCAGGTTTGTCTGCAACACTCGCACCTCGGCTCATAGCGATTGCATCCCAGCCGTTTCTCGTGAGCGACTCTGTGTGCGCTGGTCTGACCCACGTTCTCGGGTACTTGGCCAGGCATTATTTTAAATGTCCCTGTGAAGGTGGTTCTGAGTGAGGTTAATGCTGATGTTGGCAGGTGTGGAGCAAAGCACATTGTGCTTAGTGTGGGTGGGCCTTGTCCCGTCAGCTGGAGCATGAAGAGAAACACGGAGGTCGGCCAAGGGAGAGGGAATTCTGCCTTGCACCTGACTCAGCGGCAGCCCCTCCCTCGGTCCCCGGCCTGCTGGCCCACCCACAGGCTTTGGGCTCGTCACCCCTGCAACTGCAAGAGTCAGTTCCTTAAGGGGTGTGTGTGTGTGTGTGTGTGTGTGTGTGTGTGTGTGTGAGTGTGTGTGAGAGAGCGAGAGAGAGCGAGTGAGTGCATATTCACACACTAACCCTAACCTTTCTGAGATGTTGGAGACTAGGGCACACTCTCCCAAGCAGTGCCCTTCCGGAGGTGGGGAGCCGAGCAGGGGCTGGGAAGTGGGCTCGGGCCCTCCCGGCGGCGCCTGTGCCGGCAGGGGTGCTCACTGGCCACCCTGTGCTCTGGCTCAGGTTCTCTGGAGCGCCCTCACCGCGGCTCTGTCTGGAAGGTGTGATCAGGAAATCCTGCGCCTCCTGCTGACGCTTCCCGAGGACGAGACGTCTCGGTTTGTGACGGAGGAGCTCTGTGGCCTGCCCGGGTCCCGGGTGTACCCTCTGCTTGTGTCCATGGGTCGGAACCTGAACCTGCGGAGCTTCGTTTACCAAGTAAGGAGACCTGGCCGCTGGGGTCTGTGTGGTTGTGCCCTGGTAGCTGCCAGGGCCTGGGGAAGGACCCCCTCAGGTCCCAGAAGCCATGGGTGCTCAAGGCCCTTGTGCAAGATGGTGCAGCAGCTGCACAGGGCCTGGGCACATCCCCCCACACAGCTTAAGTCATCTCTGGGCTACTTACAACCCCCCACACAATGCCAGTGCTATGTGCGTTGTGGCGTCATATTATTTAGGGAATCACGAGGAAAACTGCTTGGTGTGCATCCCTTCTCTTTAGGGACCTAGCACACTACTTCCTGTAGTGTTTGGGGAAGCTGGGGCGGGCCTGGCATGCCCCTGGACTGCCGAGTTGGGTGCTGCCCCACCCCACTGAGGCCATGGCCTTCTCCCCCATTCACATCCTGGCCCCATGGCTTCTGGCCGTTGGAGTGATGTATCCAGCTAGCCTGCCCTGTGGGAGGGGGAAGGGTGGACAGCAGAGAAAGCCCCACCCTGTGTGTGCCAGCTCCTTTGCTGCCCTGACCCAGAGGGAGGGAGAGGAAGCTAATGGTGGCAACACGGGTTGGGAAAAGCTGAATGTGGGCGGTGACTGGTGCGAGGGCGAGCCCGGATCCAACGTGTGCAGACCCCGGCCCTACATGGGCAGCCCGGTTCCCAGCCTTGGCCTCGGGCTGCTCCTTCCAGAAGCTCCTCTCTGGCCTTCACTGGCCAAATCATGGCTGGTGTTTCCCGATCCCTCGCTCTTACCCTGAGGCATTGGTCTTGTTCCTGCTTCAGCCGTTTCCCGCTCAGGGACCTGTGGCTTCACAACATCTGGGCTCATCAGGGCTACAGGCAGCCGTGGGTCCCCTGAGTGCAGGAGAGAGAGGTCTTGGGATCAGGAGAGGGGGAACTGCCCTTCCCGCTGTCCTCCGCCGCCTTCTGTCACTGAGAATCCAGGGGGTAAATGTTGGAACACACACGCTCATTCCAAGCCCAAGTATTAATTTTCAGAGTAAGCAGCATTAATGCTCAGAGGAGGATGGACAGTTCCCGAATGTCCCCGTCATTTGCAAGCTCTGCTCTACCTTTGTGGAATTGATTCTCATGGCCAGCTTGCTGGGCGGCTCAGTTCCCTGTTTGCCCGTTACAGACCCCTCTCCCAAGGTACACCATGCCTTCTGGGAAGTGGACAGGGCTCCACTAGCGGGCCAGTGTTTCAGCGGCTACTCTGCTACCTGCACAACAGCCTCCCATCTGAGACTGGTGTTTCTGAGGCTCCCGTCGTCACTTTGACGAGGCCATCGTTTCTGCCAAGACCCATCTGGGGGATTGAGGTTGGGGGCTGGGTTCCGTCTCCCTGACAGAGGGAAAGCGATGCCAGTATTGATGGCACAGGTGCCGTTGATCAGGTCTGCCCAGGGTGCGCCCAGCGGAAGGGGGCTAGTGCCTGAGGCTGCTCAGATGGGAGGGCAGGTGCCATGCATCCGTCCCAGTGCAACTTCGGCTACCACAGCCGCACACCTTCTGTTCCGCTTGGCCGTGGGGGTACCTGCAGCCACTTGAGAGATTCCGCTGGGTGTGCCGGTGCTGTGCCTAACTCCCTGTCACGCCCACCACACGTCAGGGGGCAGCGTCTGCCGGTTCTAGAGAGCAGCTATAATTAGGTGAGTGGAAGAACTGACCAAGCCAGGCCGCTTCTGCTGACTCGTGCCTTGGTCCTGAGGGATGGAGTCCTATCAGCAGAGCGCGTCTGTGGAGGATGAAGCTGTGGTCTCGGAGCCCCAGAGGCCGGGAGCCAGCGGCCAGTGTGCGAAAGTGAGAACAGCGGCAGTCAGATCCTCTGCCCCAGGCAGAAAACTGGACATTCAGTGTGCAGATGACACACGCAGGAGTGGGACTCGTTCGTCTTCCCAACCCCATGGAAGGATGTGGCATTGGTGGACTTATCTGTTATCCAGCGAGTACTGTGCCAGCAGTACTGCCAGATGCTCTCCTGTCCCGGCAGCTGCAGATCAGTGCTGGCAAAATCCCCGGCTCTGTGGAATTCACGCCGCAGAATTCACAAAATGCAAGCAGTACTTGTGAGTCAAATGCCTGGTGTGGCGGGTGGTGACTGCGCAGCAGGACTTGATGGGCTCTAAGTCTGCAGGCCTGAGCCCCCTAACTGGAGACTCCGGGAAAGCTGTGAGCTCTCCAAGCCTTGGATTCCTTGTGCATGAAGCAGGCTCTGCACTGTGCATCCGCAGGCTCCGGCCGGACTGGAATGACGCGTGCATGTTATGAATATTGCAAAGCCGCCGATCAATGTAAATTGCGTCCTGTGTGGGCACGGTTTGTTCTGAACCTCTTAAATTTCCACCTTGGTCACCTGAGAGATGTAAGAAATGTTTCCAAAATGATTTGACTGCTAACTGCTAACGGTAGGTCATACATGGTCTTGGTTTGCAACACTGAGCTATGGCTCCACTAATGAAGGGGTTATTTTTTTTTTCTCCTGTAGAGGACAGCAAAGATAGCTCTGAAGTCAGAGAATCCAACCAATCACCAGGTTTTCCCTCTCCAAGGGTGCTTGTGAGAGTACAGGTGTTGAGTATCTGACGTTGTGTTTCTGTCCCGTAAGACTCTGATACCACCCGAAGCCAGGGGCTTGCTCCACTCCCTGTCGGATGTCGTGTCCAGCCTCAGCTCCTTGCTCGGCAGAGCCCAGCACGTCCTCCGACACCTTCCTGCGTTTCTTCACACCCTGGAAATTGACGCCTTGCTGGACACCTCTGGCTTTCTGCAGGTGCGTGGTTGATCCTTGCCCCGGGAAAGTTTTGATTTTGCTCCCTTTTTTATTTTCTTGTATTTGTTCCTTGTGTCTGTTATTTCTCTTTGAATGTCTAAAGTTCGTATTAGACAACAAAATGTAGGCACTTGGAATGCCTTTTTCTGTCTCTGGAGGCCCCTGGGTGGTGCAGCGTAGGCTTCACGTCTCCCTGACAACTGATAGAACACTGCGAAGTGTGTGTGGCTGCACATTGTGCCAGTGTGGAGGTGGGACGGGCCAGGCATGGCCTGCGGAGCGGAAATCACCAGCACAATTATGCGCACAGATGAGACTTCAAGGGCCTGCTTAACCTAACTCGGAGAGCAAATTGCTTTCAAGAACCTTAAAAACATTTATTTACATATAAATAATTGGCTTACAAATTACAGATCATTTGAGGCGAATGCAAACACAAACTTGAAATAGGTTGGCAGCTTGATATTCGTTTTTGCTTGAATTCTCCTTGTCTGGCGGAGGAGGAGGAGGAGTCCAGGGTCACTGGCGATGGGAGTGTAGCACCAGGAGCTGACACACACCCCCAGAGCTGCTGAGGCGGCAGGAGGCCGGTGTGCCCATCAGCCGAGGGGTCATCTGGACAGCTCTGATACCAGAGTGATTTGGTGGCAGGAACACAAGTTAAGCCTGTGAGCTCGTCTGAGTTAGTGCTGTTTTATGGATTAATAATTTATTACTGGATAAACATCAAGGATTTGCTGGTGTGAGTGTAAATGTGTGCATATATGTTGTGTATAGATTGTTTCTATGAGTGCATATAGGTGCATATGTGTAAGTCTGCACTCATATGCACTTGTATGCATACACATGTGTCTACACATGTGCTGTGCACACGTATAAGCACAGGTGTCATGCATATGTGTACACATGTGTTGTAAGCATGTGTCTTCCTGTATGTGCGTGGGTGTACATGTATGAACACATGCATGTGGGCATGTGCATGAATTTGCTTTTCCTCTAGCGTATTAGCCACAGAAAAATCATTGTAGCGATCTGAATGGTGCCCGAAGGGCAGACGAGACCAGACCAGGGCTTCTGAGCTCTGACTTGTTGAGCATTTTGTACATTCAATTGAAGAAAGGAACACCCTTTCAGGAGTGTGCCAGGGAACTGCTTTAAAGCATGGTGTAGTAGCAAGTGCCTTCTTACATCCCTAGGTTCCAAGAAGTGGCCTGGCCAGAGGGTCAGTCTTCGGCTCTTTCCAGACTGTGGTGAAGATGGTTTGCAAGGACCAAGCATCTTTTCTCAGTGATTCTAACAGCTTCATTAATTTGCCCAGAGTTAATGAGCTCTTGGAGGATGACAAGGAGAAATTCAACATTCCTGAGGATTCAAGTAAGACAACAGTCGTTAGTAGTTGTAGGCTCGTTTGTATGTTGCTAACTGGCCCGCTTTATCCCAAACATTCTGTGTAGGAGCCGACACCTGCCAGCACAGGACTTCCCCTTTGCTTTCACGATAGGCAGCTGCTCCCTGGCTGCCGGCTTTGGAAGACAGTGCCGTGGCGCAGGTTCATGCTCTCACCTGTGTCACCGAGCAGCCCCTTTGTACTTCAGGCCAACCAGAGGGGGCAGGGCCCAGGCACAAAGACAGTGGTCACCACCCTGGCGCTTGCAGACTGGCTGTATCCTTGAACACAGAGGACTTGAACGTGTCCTCCTGCAGATTTGTCACATGTGAGCCTGAGCTACAGATGAGAGCCGACCATGTGTGGTTTCCTGGCCTTGTGCTGAGAAGGGCTGGTGAGCTGGTGAGGGTTGCGGCTTAGACACGTCAGCCCTGTTGATAACAGGCTGCAGGCTTTTGCTCCCGTGGTGCTGTCTGAGCCACAGCAGTCTCCTGCATGACGTGGAATCGCAGTACAGCTTCTGGGAGTGCCGGGAGGAGGAGGATGGTGTATGTTGGAGGAGGTGATGTCTACTGGAGGTGCTGGGAGGATGGTGTATGTTGGAGGAGGTGATGTCTATTGGAGGTGCTGGGAGCATGGTGTATGTTGGAGGAGGTGATGTCTACTGGAGGTGCTGGGAGCAGGAGGAGCGTGGAAATCTCTCCAGCTGGTGTAGGATGAGAAGCCAGAGAGCAGTGTCCTCGAGCCACCTTGGAGGTCAGCGTGTGCTGCTGGTGGACAGCTGGGGCACCTGTCAGATAGCCGGGGAGTGTGGCAGAGGTGCACACCACGGTCATCAGAGTTTGACTCTTTTTTGCTGTATCTTTCCCTCATATTCATTCTCATTCCCTCCCTCCCTCTCTCCCTCTCTCCCTGTCTCTCTCTCTCCCTCTCTCCGTCTCTCCCTCTCTCTCCCTCTCCCTCTCTCCCTCCCTCTCTCCCTCTCCTTCTCCCTCTCTCCCTCTCGTTTGTATGTTGATAACTGGCCCGCTTTATACTAAACATTCTGTGTAGGAGCCGACACCTGCCAGCACAGGACTTCCCCTTTGCTTTCACGATAGGCGGCCGCTCCCTGGCTGCCGGCTTTGGAAGACAGTGCCGTGGCGCAGGTTCATGCTCTCACCTGTGTCACCGAGCAGCCCCTTTGTACTTCAGGCCAACCAGTGGGGGCAGGGCCTCTCTCCCTCTCCCTCCCTCTCCCTCTCCCCCTCTTCCCCTCTCCCTCTCTCCCTCTCCCTCTGGCAGTCTCTCTAGAGTTCCTGTTTGTTCATCTAATCCAATAACACATCCTCCGGTTCATCCAGCTCTCACTGCAGACCGTCTGCATGCGTTTATTTCAAATGGCTGTCATGCTGATCATTAGACTCTAGCGGCAGCCTCATTTTCCGGGAGACATGACAGCTGCCCTGAGAATGTTTAATAGCCCGCCTGGGTACACACAAGTCACGAGGGGACGATGTCGGAAGGCCGGTATTTAACTTTCTTTTCCGGGGCGGGCGTGTGGTGCAGTAGCTGAGATGCCACTGGGGACGCCTGCCTCCTATCCTGGAGTGCCTGGGTTTGAGTCGTGGCTCTGCTTCCAGTTCCAGCTTCCTGCTGCTGTGCACCCGAAGGCGACAGGCAATGGCTCAAGACCTTGGGGTTGTGCCACTTACACAGGAGACGCGGATTGAGTTCTGGGCTACTGGGTTCAATCTGGCCCAGCCCTGGCTATGCAAGCATTTGGGAAGTGAGCTAGTGCATAGCAGATCACTGTCTCTGCCTTTCAAAGAAATAAATAATTAAAAACATGAATAAAAATTAAAGACAAATATTTTTATGCATATAATGATTAAGTCTTTTCTGAAATAAAAATTACTGCTTTCTATATTGAGCTTGCAATTTAAAGAGTAAGTTAAAATATCAACCTCTATAATTAATGCTTTAATATTTTATGTAATCATTCTTTTATACTTTAGGGGATTATTTCTATTTTATTGTATGAGGGTACTTCAGAAGGTGCATGAAAACATGGAATTAAGAGATAAGTTTATTTTGGTACAAAAATAATTGGAAAAGCATGCATAGTTCTCATAATACACATTTTCCACAAACATTTTGAAGAATGTTCTCTGCACGAGTTTCAATTTTTAAATTTGAGAGGCAGCAACAAAGAAAGAGAATGTGCAGTGTCTGAAGCTGAGAGACGGGAACTCGATCCAGGTCTCATTGTGAGGGGCAGGATCCCAATCATTAAAGCCCTCACAGCTGTCCCCCTCTCCCCCAGGGTCTGCATTAGTATGGGATGAATCAGGAATTGGAGCTAGGGACTTCGACATGGAATGTGGACCTTGTGCTAGGTGAAACGTCTGCCCTGGATTTCAATATTGCTTTGCATCAAAATAAACTTATCTTTGTTAATTAGAGAGAGAAAGAAATATGAATACCTATTCCCTGCATTCCCAGGTTCACTCCTCAAATGCCCACTGTGGCCAGGACTGAGCTGGGGCTGCTCCAGGAATCAGGAATGCAGTCCAGGTCTCCCACGTGGGTGGTAGGAACCCAATCACTTGGGCCATCATCTACTGTCTCTTACACTGGTGGGAAATTGGAATTGGGAGCCAGAGCTGGATCTAGAACTCGGACACTCTGGTGTGGGACACTGGCAGTTTAACTGCTGCTGCTAGGTCAAATGCCCATCCTAGACTTCTCTTAGTTTCATTTCCATGGACTTTTTGAACTATGTGTGTACTTTCAATGCTTTTTTTTTCCTGTTCATATAGAAAATTGGGGAAGATGAAGTTAAATTGGTCACAACTGTACAGATCTTGGATATTATGAATCCTGTTGTCAAAGCTAAGAAATTTCCACTGAAAATATTTTCTTCATGGGTAAAAGAAAGTTACAATAAGATATTTGTCAGCTTTTTTTTTTTTTTTAAAGATTTATTCAAAAGACAGGGTTACGGAGGAGGTAGTGAGAGAGAGAGAATGAGGTCTTCCATCTGCTGGCTTACTCCCCAAATGGCCAGAAGGGTTGAAGGTGAGCGGATGCAGAGCCAGGAGCCTCCTCCAGGTCTCCAACGTGGGTGCACAGGCCCAAGAACTTGGGCCGTCCTCTGCTGCTTTTCCATGTGCATTAGCAGGGAGCTGGATCGGAAGTGGAGCAGCCGGGACTTGAACCAGCACCCTCATGGGATGCGGGCACTGCAGGTGGCAGCTTTATCTGCTATGCCACAGCGCCGGCCCTGAATAAACTCTTAATTGAAACTGAGTATTGGGGCCGGCACTGTGGTGCAGTGGGTTAACATCCTGGCCTGAAGCGCCGACATCCCATATGGCCGCTGGTTCAAGATCCGGCTGCTCCACTTTCTATCTAGCTCTCTGCTATGGCCTGGGAAAGCAGTAGAAGATGGCCCAAGTCCTTGGGCCCCTGCACCTGTGTGGGAGACCCAGAGGAAGCTCCTGGCTACTGGCTTCGGATCGGCGCAGCCCTGGCTGTTGCGGCCAATTGGGGAATGAACCATCAGATGGAAGACCTCTCTTTCTCTCTCTTTCTTTGCCTCTTTCTCTGTGTAACTCTACCTTTCAAATAAATAAATCTTAAAGCTGAGTATCATTGCAACAATAATAAGAGCCAACATGAGGAATTTCAGTGTTTGAGTTGGATAATTGAATGTACCCAAAGTAGTAAGCTTGCTAATTCTGCACAGGTGTGTCAAAACTCAGTAGCAACTTGCAAGACTGCTTTCATGAGAAAAACCAAGCTCTGGTCTCAGTGACGTTGAAATGGGTATAATCTTCGTAAGACAGATTTATTTTTTATTGTTTCTTTCAAATTTTCAAGTGTCTTTGTCATCACTCAGTGCCCTATTGCCAAATTAGTCTGGATACCCAAGGGTTACCTCTCCCTTTTTTCAAGTCATTGCAGTGAGAGGGTCACGTGAGCCCAGAGCTGCTGCGCACTGGAGTGGGACACAGTCCTGCCTGCCTTCCCACGTCAGCATCGCGTCATGAAAACGGAGCACCTCCTGAGAAGTAGGGCATGGTGGGTGCCGAATAACCCGGCATCCTGTGTCTCAGAAGACTTTGCTTTTTATTGCTGACAGCTCCGTTTTGCTGGAAGCTGTATCAGGAAATCCTGCAGTCTGCAAATGGTGCCGTGGTGTGGTCCTTCCTGAAACCCGTACTCCATGGGAAAATCCTCTACACACCCAACACGCCCGGGGTCCACCAGGTCATCCGAAAGGTGAGTCCCCCGTGCTGCCAGCAAGCCGAGCTTCAAACTGTTTCTCAGAATTGCCGCGTGCGCTGGGTTGCACACGTTTTCTTGTGTTGATTACAACTCATTTTGGCCTGAGTTTCCTCCTTGGCACTGTTGGTTTTAAACGTGGATTTTACCTCAGGAGCAGGGGCACCCATCAGACACGGGTGCAGGGGGAGTGTGGGGAGCCAGTGTTCAACACTGAGGACAGGGTGAGGTGGGATGGGCATGGGTGTTGCTCTTTTACAGACTTTGTATGTCTGTGAGATTCCATCATTCTGGTCTTCAAAGCCGCTTCTAATACTTCATGTTAACACCCAAGAGAGGAAGGAAGAGGAGCAACCAACCCACCACCAACCAAACGCTTCGTCAACCTCTTTGTGGGTCAACTACTCAGAGCCCAGGGGGCTAACGCGACTCTGGCTCACTGGCCAGTGGTTTGGTCAGGACTCAGACACAGAACTGGACACCAAATTCCCTTGGACTCCTCATCCGTGAATCACTTCCCCTGGCATGTATGGACCGCAGTCTGTTTACTCACACCTTGGAGGATGTCTGAGTTTATCCAGTTTCTGGCTCTTAGATTTGCTTTTCTTTTCTTTCCTTCCTGTGGATTATTGGACCATTTTTTAGGATTCTCAGTCTACAGAATGGTTTTAGGAGGTAGATGTTTGACCTAGAAGTGAGGATGCCCTCATATCACATTGGAGTACCTGGATGTGAGTCTCAGATCCGCTCCCGATTCCAGGTTCCTGCTGTGCAGACCGTGGGAGGCAGCAGCAATGACTCAAGTGGTTGGGTCCTTGCCACCTAGGTGGGAGGCCTGTGGGGGGCTTGTACTGAGTTCTTGGCTCATGACTTGGTCCTCTTCCATCCCTGGCCATGGAAGGTATTTGAGGAGAGAGCCTAGAGGATGGGAACTTTCTCTGTTCATTAAATAATGAAGAAAAGAATGATTTTAGGATCCCCATCCTAAAAATAGTGCTTTTGAATGCAACTCTTTGCATGATACTTGTTGTGGTGGCTGTGGTTATTAGAGTACGTGCTGGTATTGACATTTTACCTCCAGAGTCAAGTGTGAGAATCTTGCTTCCACGTAGTTCTCCTTAATTCCCCCACTTTTAAATGCTCAGGTGCCCCTCTTATGACGGGGCGACATCCTGATAAGCCCGACATATTCTAAGTGGAAGATTCCGTGAACCCATCTAACCTGTGGGCCACCCGCAGCATGCCGCCATGTCAGCGGGTTCCCTGTGATGGCAGGACGCCAGTGCCGGTGCCCAGAGTTCTCCTTGCTAGCCCAGGGAAAGATCCAAATTCAAAATTCATCGTGTGTGTTGACACACCGTCACACC